TCTCGATTCTTCTGTATTTCTAGACATGAGACACGACCATAGACATATTTATCAAGCCTTGTGATTTTAACCATGTATCTCCCTTTCTTAATCGCCACCACCCAAGTTACGGAGATGAGTCACTGCCTCCAATCCAAACTCCAGCAACAAGACAACTGCTCAATGCCAATGCTCCCCCAAGAACCGCAACACCGTCCGATACCCGCGGAGATACTCCTCCCGCACGTGGGGATCGCTCAAATCCGCCCGCGCCGCCATCCACCCATGCACCTGGTCCCCGAACGTTTCGACATGATGCGGCACGCTCAGCTTCGCCTCGAACGCCTGCACCGTCTCCGGCGCCTCCTCCTGCGACGCGAGCAGGATGTAGGGCACGGCGATCTTCTCCGCGCCCGCCGGGTCGATCATCGCCGGGTGGGCGGCCGCCGCCACGGCGAAGGGGTTGGTGGTCGGGTTGGACGTCACCAGTTCGGTGACTTTTCCGCCCCAGCAGAACTATATATCCTAACGCATTAACAAAGAAGACTCCTTTGGGTGGGGGGAAAAAGGAGAAGGGGGGGGGGAAGGGGATGGGGGGTACGTATACGTACCCCGATCAACGCCCACGATGTTATGGTTGGGTTCGCGGCTTGCACGGCCTCGACGTAGGCGGGGAGAGCGTCGGCCACGGCCACGGGGCTGTTTTGGCCGAACCATTCGCCGAGCTTGCTTTGTTTCTCCGGGGTGTCGGGGGGATACCTAGCATCTTGTTGTAAGTTTGGGTTTGGTGTGGTGTGGTTTTGGGTAAGGGTGGATAGGGGTTGTATCTAGGAGGAGAGAATTGTAGATGATGTGTAACTACGGTACGAGGGCTGGAAAAGCTGAGGGTCAACCCCACCATTCAACTGGGCACGGCTTCCCCTTGAACCAATCCGGCATGAAGAGGCGGTACTGCTGGCTTGCCCCACCGCCCGTGGCCAGGATATCGGCGCCCTGCAGGGTCTGGTCGAAGTAGCCGAAAATGTCGAAGATGGAGATTATGCCTTTTGTTGTGGTCGGGGGGCCCGTTACATCTATATCCTTTATTAGTCTGTCGTGTTGTAGGGGAATGGAAAGGAGGGGGGGTGAGGGTGAGGGGCATCATACAGGTCTTCATCCCTCCGAGCTGCTCGTAGGATCCCTTGGGGACGTAGCCGTCGGCGACCACGGGGGGGATGTTGCAGCAGGCTTCGTTGTGGCCGTGGGTGGCTGGCATGGCGGTCGACATGGTGGCTGTTGGGTGGTATCGGGTTGCGCGGGAGAAAGGGTTGGGCTGGGGGATTTGTGGTCTGTTGGTGTTTGGAGGCGAGAGGTTTGTCAGAGATCTGCTGCCTGTGGTGATGGCTGTGATGGCCGTGGTGCTGCAGCAGTGCGGACGGAGGATGGCTGGGGACGGGGAGGAGGATCTTTTAGTAGCTGTAGTAGTTGGAGCGGGGCGGGGCGTCGCGCGACTGAGATTCAGGTTGAGCGGGGGAACGCGCAGGGGAGGAACCATTGTGAGTGGGCTTGTTTTTTTTTTTAGCTTCGATGCTTGTAGGATTGATTTCAAGATGTTGGAAGGTACACTGCATGCTTCCATAACTTCAATCAGCGGACTCGGAGAGAGAAAAGGCAGGGGTTTTGTACCGAAGAATTCCGAGCTGGGGTTATCGGAGGCAGGCCTCGCATATACGGCCGGCGGGAGGATGGAGTTAGGGCTTGCCTGGGATGGAGGTGGTCTCGTCCGTACACTCCGAAGATTATCATCCCATCCGAGACAATATATTGAGCACAAGTGGCAGCTAATGCATCTTGAACCCCTGGTTAGAGAAACCAAGAAATCAAGAAGATATTACAAATCTCAGTTCCAAGCCTGTTGTTGGAGCTGACTCCGAACCAATCAATCAATCCACATAACCCACCCACACTCATACAATCCTCCAAAACGGAAGATGGCCACTCCCACCCCCACAACCCTAACCTCGACCTATCTCTTCAGCGCCACTGTCAACCTCAGCCCGCCCCTCAGCCCCATCTCTCTGCTGGAAGGCGGCGTCCGCATCGTCGAGCCCATTACCGGCGGCACCATCTACGGCCCGGGCTTCAACGCGACCATCGAGGGCGGCCTGGCGGCGCCCATCATCGTCTCCAGCAACGACACCGGAAAGGCGCAGATGGCTTTTATCTGGGCCTACGGGCATGCCGATGACGGCGAGCCGTTCTTCATCGAGGAGTCCGGCATCGGCACCGGCGGTACCCAGAACACGCGTCTGATCATCCAGGTCGGCGGCAAGTACCGCAACCTCCAGACCATGTATGTGCTGGGCCAGCCAACAGTCAACGAGGCGCGGACGGTCGTTTTGGTGGAGTGTTTTGGGGTGCCGTTGCCGTGATGCCTGCCAGAGATGTGTGGGGAATGGCAGGGTTGGTGGGGTGTAGATAGTGATTTTTCAAGTGAACAGATTCGTACTGGCTTTTTTTTTGGGCTGGTCTTATGATACTTGTCTCTTTTCTTCACTAAAGTTAGAACTACTGAAAGAGTATAGAAATAGAAGGTCCGTTTCAGGCCAAAGATCATCCTTATACAAGCCTTGCGAACTTGATCTTGGAACATTACAAACAATGTTGCTCAGTATAATTAACAAGAATAACTAGAACTCTAATCTAGACACCCCCATACAAAGCGAGGCTAAATCCCCGAATCATCCTGCGGATACGGCGCCGTCGCCCACCAGTAATCCCACTTGTCGCACGTCTCGTCAAACCCACTCCTCTCCGCGGCCTGCAGCGCGATATCCCCCTGATTCTCCACGAACTGCAACGCCAGCCCCTGGCCCGCATGCCACGCGATGTGGCAGTGGACCAGCCAGGCGCCCGGGTTGTCCAGCTGGAACGCGATGACCAGGTGGCCCCGGGCCGGCAGGATGGCCGTGTCGCGCCGCGGCGGATTGACCGTCTCCCACGAGGTGGTCGTCCCGTCCCAGGTGGCGCCCTCTTGGGCGAGGATCCAGAAGTCGTGGCCGTGGAGGTGGATCGGGTGGGCGATGGCGCCCAGCAGGGCGACGGCCTTGTTCTCGATGACGAGGACGGCCCATTCGTTGGTTTCGGTGGGTGATTTCTTCTGCTTCGTGTGAGCGATGATTATCTGGGTAGGGGAATATAATGGTGGTGAGGTCTAGGAAAGAGGTGCTACATACTTCCACTTTGACCACGTTGGACTGCGACGGGAAAGTAGTCTCGCCGTCGAAGATCTGCATGAGCGTCGGGCGGCTCCAGTCGAGCATGAAGGAGCTGCTGTTGATCGTCCACTGGAAGAACGAGGCCCCCGTCAGCCGGACATTGATGTCTTCGACCGTCGTGCCGGTGATGTTGGTCACGTCCAGCTGCAGGTGCGGCACCAGTCGGTGGAGAGGCTCATCCAGACAGACGGCGGGTGGCTGAACGTGGCTGACACTCGTCGGAGAGGATTGAGATTCACCCACTCGACTACTAGTGCTATAGCGAACAATACCAGTAGAATCATCGGGATGGTCGTTGGCCACGCCGGCACAGGACTTGACCCAGCCGGCGCGAAGCCAGTAGTCACCGGGCGGGGCGTTGGCCTCGACAATGACATCGTACCGCTGCGCCACGTTGATCAACACATTGTCTGTGGAGTAGGGATCGATCGGCACAAAGTCCGTCGAAATCACCGTCAGGGTGTGGCCGTCGATGCTGAACTGGAACTGACTGTCCACGGCGACGTTGATCAACCGCAGACGGTATTTCTTGCCGGGCTCGAACACGGCCTCGAACTTACGGCCACCGCCCACGCAGTTAGCATCGGCACTGTCACTCGAGAGGCAGTCGAAGGTGTTGGTCCCGTTTATAAGCAGGTTATTCTGGGATTTGGTGATGCCGTATTTCTCCTTGGCGGTCCAGTCGATGTAAGACGGAGTGTGGGACCAGTCCTGCAGGAACAGCGTCCCCAGGTCCTCGTCGTAGTTGGCCGTCGCTGGCCCCTGGATTACCAAGGGTCCGAAGAGCCCCTCTGCGTATTGCAGCGAGAAGTGGCTGTGGTACCAGGTGGTTCCGTACTGGGTCGCTTGGAACCGATAGGTGAAGCTCTCCCCCGGGGTGATCGGACACTGGGTGACTCCCGGAACGCCGTCGTTGTGGACGTTGTTGTGCTGTCGGACCCCATGCCAGTGGATTGATGTGCCGTTGGACTTTAGGTTGTTGGTGACGTGGATGACCAGCTCGTCGCCCCAGTTGGCTGTGATCAGTGGGCCGGGCATCGTCCCGTTGAAGGTCATGCAGGGTCGGTTGTACCCATCCTGATTGCAGATGCCTTCCTGCACCGACAGCCACACCTCGACGGTGTGCCCTGTGGTGGGGACTGTGGTGTAGTAGTTGGTGTCGATACTGTATTCGCCCCAGCAGTGTCGCGAGGTGGGTGTGTTTTCGCACGTCTGGCTGCTGGCACCGGTGATGACTGGATTGACGGGTACAGACAACACAGCTTGGTCGCTGGTTTCCCAAAGCCCTTGCATCCCGGTCCAACCGGTGACATAGGCGAGAAAGGTGTACAGCACTGCCTTCATTTTGACCCCGAAGAATTGACCAAGGCCACCAGATCTGAGTCGCTCTTTCCGAAAGCTCAGTATGAAGAGTGACAGGGCTGCGAAGAGAAATGATGAAATTTTAATTTTCTGGTCTTCAGCCGCCGGTCATTGTGCAGCTGAGAGACCATACTTTAGCTGCATGGATGATGTGCCGGGGTCGATCGGAGCCCAAAGGGGGATTCGGAGAAAACAGCTGCGCGCCGCCCGCAATTTTCGGGGGAAATCCCCCAAACCGGCATCTCGGAGCCTCACCACCCTCCCAGTTAGGGTTGACTTCATATATCGGATTCCAGACTTTTCATCTTTCGACATGGTCCAATGCTATTTTTTTTGAGATGAGTTAAGTCAAGGGTCGCTTCAAACTCTCCCTCTCAGAAAAAAACACAGACACCACCCAAAATGTGGCTCCTACCACAGACATTGGTAGCTCTCCTGGGCGTGGCGGCCGTCTCCGCGCTCCCCAAGACCTGCCACGCCCCGGAGCTCCCTCTCCCCCTGCGACAAATCTATCGATTCCCATCCTTCCCTACCTACCTGGAAAGTATCTACGTGCGCTCCAACGGCGACCTCCTCGCCGTGACCGCCTTCCCCGACGCCTCGCTCTACTACCTCACCGGGGTGACCAAGGCAAATGACCCGGACGACCCGCCCACAGTAACCCTAATCCGCGCCTTCGACGAGGTGAACACCCTAACCAGCATCATCGAAACCCAACCAGACATCTTCACCATCGTAGCCGGCAACACCTCGACCTACGCAACCGTCATCCCAGGGACCTTTGGCGTGTGGGAGCTCGATCTCCGTCCCACCAAAAACAACAGCAAGCAGCCCCCACAGGCCCGGGAGATCGTCCGCATCGCCGGCGGCGGCTTCATGACCGGGATGGACACGATCTCGCCCACCACCGTGCTGGTGTCGGACGGCTCCAACGGCCTCGTCTGGCGCGTCGACCTCACCACTGGCGCCTACGACCTCGCCATCCAGGTCCCCGCCATGCATTACCCGCCCTGGGCGTCTGCGCCCGTCGGCGTCAACGACATCAACATCCACAACGGCTACCTGTACTGGAGTAATGCCTTCGCGGCGACGCTGTCACGCATCCGCCTCACCGACGACGGGTACGCGGCGGCCGGGGCGGAGAGTGAGCTGGTGGCCGAGGTGCGCTCCATCTTCTTGGACAAGTTCACGTTCGGGGGTGGGAACGCGGACGGGAAATACGATCGCGAGACGATCTGGGCGATGACCAATGCTGATAGTCGCGTGTTGGCGATCACCCCAGAGGGGGAGATCTTGACCGTGGCCGGGCAGTCGGATCAGATGACCGTCGCGGGGTCGACAACGGGGGCATTTGGGAAGGTGAAGGGGGATACGAAAACGCTGTATGTTCTTACTGGTGGGGGAATAAATTTTCCAATCAATGGGTCGATGGTGGAGCCGGGGAAGATTGTGGCCATTGATACGGAGGCGTTTTGGTAGGGGTTCGGAGAGATGTGTTGAGCTGGTAGGGTAAATATGACATTTCTCACTCTAGAGTACGTTTCTGTTTCTTTTGAACTTGGTTTGTGATTGTTTGGTCTTCTAGGAGAGATCCGAGATAGAACTAAGGTCGGAAAATGTGTATATGGGTAAGGATAGGATTGTTGTCCTCTTCGCAACTGACGCGTAACTTACTATGTATCTTTCACGCCAATGTCTATTCAGTGTCTTACCGCAATAGTGGAGGGTGCCACAGGAGTGACTGCAAGACTGGAGCCGTTGAAGCCTGCCACATTTGAGTTCAAGATTCATGGAAGCAGGGCCAACCTTCCTGGAGACAGGCAAGTTCCCACACGTGCTATTAGTTCAACAGATCGGGCTGTCATACGTTCATGCGTTCACAAGGCTTGATATGCCAGGCCCGAGCGTCCGAGACCCTGCCGGCTAGGGCTTTTGGGAAACAACGCGATGTAACCGCCAAGAACCGCTAAAGATGATCTCTTATTAAATAGGACTCCGGGGTATGCTTTTTTGTCCCCTTCCCCCTTTACTCCTTCTGTGGCAGACTTCACTCAGTCTTACTCTATCATCATGGAGACACTTCCGACCGAGTTAGTTGACACTATTGTGAGCTGGCTCGATCTCCGGGATGTCTGCGCGCTCCGTCTGACTGGACGTACTATCTTATCCCACATATCTACTGCCGCTATTTCTCGGAGATTTTACTCCTTCTAAGAGAGTGAAAATAACAGAGGCTGCGCTAGAACAGCTGGTTCGCTTCACCCAGCCAGGACAGGTAGGCCTCTGGCTCCAACGGCTCACGCTGTATGACTGTATCGAGCGCACGGAGCAGTCTGATTCTGATTTCGACGCAACCGAGCTACTGGCCCAAGCATTCGCGAATATACGCGACCGGCCAGCATCCCACCGGGGCAATCAGCTGTCGCTGTCTATCTCCCTGGAGGTCGACAACTTCTCTACTTGGGACAGGGATGTTACAGCTCGGGTGTTCCACGCGACCATCTCTGCCATCGCGAGAACGGAAATCCCAATCCAGGAACTCGATATTTTTGGCGACGCTTATTTGCATGATCACCATTTCAAAAACGGCCAATGTAGCTTAGCTTTTAGCGATATCGCGCTTGCTTTGTCACGCCACCGGACCCCCTTAGCAACATCCTTGCGAAATTGCACCAAGTTCTGCCTGAGTCTAGGCCACTCAACCCGGGGATTCAATTTCGAGTGCAGCGTCCGGGACTTGCGTCTACCGCTGACCGCGAACGAAGCCCGACAGAACATTCAGTCGCTTTGTGATCTCCTCACCATGTGCCCTTTCCTCGAAGAACTACACCTCGTGTGGGAGGATGACGACTTTGAAGAAACAGATGCGTGCAGAGAAGAACGGGAATTCTTCAACCAGATAGGTATTTCCTGTGCATTTGCAGACTTGAAGCGATATGAACTTCAGGATCTCGACGCGTCCGAGAACCCAATCATGACCTTTTTCCGCCGGTCCCCGAGGCTGCTAGAGTTGACCTTGGATGGATTGATTGTAATGCCCGGAGGTTTCAGTCATCTTTTTCATTTGCTATCTACAGCTATGCCAGACCTGGGTTTGTTACGGCTCCGAGGGCTGGATGACGACCTGGGTAGTCTGTACTTTTTCCACGAACCAAAAGAAAGCACATGGGGCAGACGGCCAGGGGCTGCTCTACATGGTATCAGCCGGAGAGGGTCCGACGCCAGAAGACTAGTTGTACCTACCAACAGAAGATAAGAGTCGATTAGATTGGACTATTTAGAAGAGCCATGGTGTGGAAGTCTAGATCTCAAACAACAGTCCAAGCACAGAGGTACCCTGGTAATGCCTTGGCTTTTCATTTATGGGATTTAGCAGGCGATGTAACCTCAATTTACAGAATAGGATCACGGGTAATTCAAGGCCACCTTTCCCATATTTTTCTAATCCTCAGAAATGTTACAAAGGTTGTCAAGCGAGCCCAGATAATACTGCTCACTATCCTTCCACATTCATTTCTTGCTGTGTCTTCCATTGCTGAGGCTAGATTATTCAGCTTGTCTTTAAGTATTTCTCCTTCAAAAGAGCAGCAAGGTTGAAGATCCTGCGAGACCAACATAACCATGTCACATACCTTGAAATGGGGGCTTTTGATCTCCATAGCGCTTTGGTGGAAACTCATCGGCGCCGATAAATCCTTCACTTACTCCCAGGTAGGGGAGTTGAGAGCCACCTCGTTTGGGGTGGAGGCCAACAAGAGCCACTTTGTATATCCCCGAGCGTAAGGTTAACCCAGCTCCCTCACGGTACCTTGTCTGACCCTCTTTAGTGATCCTGAATGCGGTGCAAGCACTTGGGATGACCCAGATACTCCTTCATGCCGTGCTTTATGTGGTCCAGCCTCAGAAGGTTGCTCCGGTAGCTTGAATAGACGCAGCTACGGGCTTCGCCTCACCGAAGTCCCAGGTGATAGCAACGCATCTCATCAGCTTGTGGAAAGGACAAGCCTCCACCCGCGTGCCTTTACGGACCTGACCCTTGCCGGTATCCGAGATTACGTTCCAAAACAAGCAGACCTACTTAAGAGAGCTTGGGATCCGTATTATCGGGGAGCCTCTGCCGATAGTTCAATATCGAGGCCGTATCGAGACCAGTGAGTCGATGGCCCAGCAGCGAAGATTTTAAGATGGTGGTGCCTTTCAAATCGCCACCACGGGTCTTATGGGGTGTACTGTCGTAACAGTGGTGTCTAGAACAGGGGTCTACATGGTATGCAACATCACACATTAAAAGACTTCCCCTTTCGATGTCAAGTGTCCAACCCAGCTCAAGACCGGCATGGGAAGCTTGCTCGAGCAGCACCATTTAGGTCTAGGCCCAGGGTCATTCAATCCCTATGGATCATTAGCGCAGCTAACCCTTCTTTTCTAGGCACACTACTGGGAGAATCCTAGTTTATTACGACGAGCAACCTTCCAGAGACGCGTCCTCAATTTCATTTCTGGTGATGAACCACGAGACGGGGTGGGCCCGGCCCTCGACCCAACCATCTTCAATGGGGCAGAGGACGACACGCGCATCTATATTATGCACCCTCGCAGGGAACTATCACCCAAAAATCCTTTCTTAGCAAACTACGACGGGAAATTTGCAGAACTACGTGACTTGCCTAATGTAAGACTTCTTCCTGGAGCACCCACGGCGGCGAGGATGTAAGTCGCTGTCCCATATATCTTCGATGAGAATGGGGAGTATAAAAGTGACCCCATTAAGGATCAGCCATGGAGACGAAATGCCGTGTTCCAATATGATCCGAACGCGCGTGGCAACGGAATACCAGGGTGGAGGCTTTTCTTTGAGGATCATGATTTCGACAAGACTAATGCGCCCCCGGGCCCTGAGTCCGCCAACGGCATTCCTGATATACCGTAACTTTCTGCAGGGAAGCCCCGGCAAGGAGGGACATGGATGTACGGCACAGAACTATCGACGATCTCCGAGTTGAGTTGTGTGGATCAAAGGCCTCTTTCAGTGCTCTCACAAAACTTCACATGGCCAACTCAGGGTTAGGGTTGGTTCACAAGAAAGAGTGAACTGTTGTGTGCAGCTACCTTAGTGTCCCGCTTACCCCTGAGCTTCTATGATAGCCTCCCAGCGAATCTGATTACGGAGTGGGGGCGTGCGCCTGATGTATATTGTGATTGCACCACACACGTTAAAGGGATCCTCCCTGACTGGAGTTATAATATGTAGAAAAGCTGACTGGAGATAATAGATATCACGTCTGCAGTGACTGTTGTAGTACGGCACCACGGAGGAACCATTTCCCATAGTAGTCTCACCACTGCAGTCTGTTCCTGGTGATTATAGTTCTCAAGAGCGTCCCCTTCTAATCTGCATTTTATTGAACAGGATATTGTTCGCGGTCCTCGCCGGTTGGACCGGTACATGGTCTGCCGTACTCCTCGGTGGGTCTTAGCTACCTAAGGTAGTTCCTTCGATAGCCTACGTAGCTAGAATTCATCCATCATCCACATCCTTAAGGGAGATAGATGAATTTGGCAATATAGCTAATCACTTACTATGATCACGATCGCAGATCTGACAGCGGTGATAAGAGTCTTCACAATGGTGTTATTCCCAGTAGTAAACATTTGATCCTGACAAATGTAAGTCATCCGGGAAAGAACGGATCTGCCTCCTGCGGACCCAGCCATTGCATCTGTAACCAGTCGTCCATCATGGGGAAGGAATAATCCATCCCTGTGTACTGCGGGGGCGGGTACGGTCCCAGCATTGACGGGATCATCCGTCGGTCGGCTAGGCGGAGTCAGACACGAAAGGGTCATGAAAATGTGGAGTTGATTCGGCCTACCTTCACTCAGATCCATGGAATGCGACCAGGTGGTCATCCCCAACCCTGTGGTAAAGTCACTGCTGGTGACCGTCGGCGCGTTCTGCGTCACCACCATCGGCTCGCTGTCCTCCTCGGCGCTCGTCGCACTCCGATTCCCGTCCCCGGCGCGCGCAAGGGTCAGGCTGACGATCTCCGTCGCGCGTTTCGCCTCCCGGGACGAGGTACTGCGCCGCATCCAGATGGTGCGGGCCCGCCGCAAGGCAGCCAGGACTTCTTCCGTGCGCTCGCCGAGCGGCTGCGCCCGGTGCAGCAGTGAGCAGAGGATCATCGTCGCCGTCAGAAAGAGGTGGTTCATGCTGGAGGTGATGCGCCAGCGCATCTCGTGGAGCTGGCCGCCCGGGCATGTCTCCTCGTCGAGGACGTGCTGGATATGTAACGTGCCCAGCGAGGCGTCGATACAGGCGGTGCGCGAGTACGCGAAGGGGGCTTCTCCGACGGCTTGTTCGCTGAAGTTCTCGCCAGCACCAGTCGCTGTCGCTGACGCCGTGGCCGCAACATGCATCTCCAGGAACCGTCGGTGCAGCATGATCTGCCCCTTGTATAGGAGATGGCCCAGGAAGAGCCGCGACATGATCACCTGCGGCGAGTCGGTCACGCTCGCCGTCAGCGGCTTGATGCGGAGCGGCGGGGGAATGCTGGCCACCGCCTCGTGCAGCGCTTTGTCCGCTTGCATGATCTCCGCGTAGCTGACCGGTTTGACCGCGTCCGCGAGATCGGCAATCGCGCCCAGCGCGATGATCATGCGGCGTCGGGCGATAATTCCCAGCGCGGTGGTGTGTTCCGTCTCGGGTCGGGCCGGTGGTAGTTGGGTCAGTTCCTGGTCCAGGTCCATGTCGTAGAGGTTGCGCGGCTCGGCTGTGTCGCATTTCCAGTCACAGATCATCCGTGGCATCCCCATCTGGCTGGAGAGGAGAATGTCGCTCGTCAACACGGTGGCCCAGAGTCGTCGTCGCATCTCTCCCTGCAACGGTGAGATGCCCGGGAAGTGGCTGGGGTCGCGGTGGTAGCCCATTCGCATCGCCAGATTGACTTCCAGTCCTAACAAAAACCAGATGTTGCGATCCGCATCCGGGTTGATGCCAAACTCAATGTAGAGATAGTGTACGACGGTCTCCAGCACATATTGCCCGGGCTTCGTATACTCGCCCAGGACCAGGCACTGCACGATCTTCTCGCGGTAGAGGTCAATCTGGAGGGACTTCTGCTCCGCTTCGGGCCCGTCGGTCGTATCCGAAGCCATCACCGCCAGACACACCATGCTGAAGAGAAGGCCAACCCATACGATGGACACCCGGCTAGAATCAGTCCAGAATGCCTCATACTATAAGATTGTAGTCAGCATGGGCTCACTGGTGATCTGAAGATATGCCAACTTGCCTCTCGAAGAAAGCTGGGCCCATGTACCGCAGCTAGTACACCCTCCAGAAATCAGCCCACCCCCATCTCGAGACGGTCGGAGAATAGCAAAAAGGGCGGAAAAGGGAAGTGCCTGACTCACCGGATGCGACTAGGTCGAGATAGTTGAAATAGCGGGAAATGTAGCGGTCGACGGCGGCCTTGGGCGGCAAAGCCGCGATAATCTCCGCGCGCGAGGTGGCCCGGTGACACCCATACAGCAACAAAGCATGGCGGAAGTGGGGTGGTTCCTCCTCATTGAGGTGAGTGGGCGTCTCTGCCAGGGAGATCTGCTCCTCGCGGTCACAGTGGGCTTTCAGGTCGGCGATACTGTCCATGATGGCCGCCCAGTGTTCGCCGGCCACATACCGCAGCTCCGAACTGGTGATCTGCATGCTTCCGCAGTCCGACTGCGTATCGAGGCCACTGGCCGACTCTTGTCGAATACCACCGCTGGAACTGGAATCGGGCGTGGCCAGTGGCTGCGGGGGCTTATGGTGGTGAGATACCACCCCATCGGCCATCAGCGACTTAACGAGACGCTCCAGATGCACGAGCCGGTCATGGACTCCGGAGGTCCCGCTGGACGGGGCCGACGAGGACGATGCTCCGGGCCTTGGCGTCAGGTAGACGCACGTCTGACCCCGCGAGAGACAGCTGGAGCATGTGGGCTGTTGCCGATCGCATCGAGACTTTCGTTGACGACACGCGTTGCAGGAGAATTGGGGTTTATCACGCCGGCGACGGGGTTTGGCGGGAGGGATTCCGGCGGATGAGGTAAGTGGGTCCTGCGACATGGAGACATTGGATGAGGACATTTTGATAGAATCATCAATAAGTAATAGGGATCAACGGAGGATGAATTAAATGATGGATGGATGGATGGATGCAGGAGGGGTGGATGATGGGTGAGTTCATAGTGGGTGTTGGTCCTTTGAGTGAGGCGGAGTCAGCAGCAGTGGATGCCTTAAGCACGGAGACTAGTACTAGTGTTATCTGCCTGAGGCTAATCGCCGTATATACGGGATCGGCGGGGGTCATCGGCCCTAATCGGAGGAAAGCCCGCATATACGATCCGAACACTTTCAATCGGAGATAGCTTCCCTGTCCATCCCCCCTCCTCTAGTCTGGTGTTTTTCAACGTAGCTAACGGCGGATTCCGGTGGTGTGATGGAGCTTCTCACCTTTAAAAACTTTCACCACCGAAGTATGTACACACACATTACCAAACTAAATTCGAGTTCATCCAAGTATTGCAAAAACAGTCAGATTGACAGACACAGTCAGATATGGCGGCTAAACAAGAAGACACCGAGACGGCCGTTAGCGCAGCCTCTCTCGAGACGAGTCTGGTTGAAGACAAACCAACCCCCAATGACGAGATTGTCGATTGGGATGGGCCTGAGGATCAACAAAACCCACACAACTGGTCCAGTGGCAAGCGATGGGCCCATGTCATCGTGGTGGCCTTGATTTCTTTGGTCATGTACGGCGCAATCCTTCCGGCCCCAGGCAGAATTGACCCTCACCCACCCATCCCGCCAATTCACTAATCACTTACCATCTTAGGAACATGGGCCCGACCATGTGTGCCCCCGGTATCAACAAAGTCCTCGATACCTTCGATAATCACTCCTCTACGGTGGCTACTCTGGCCGTCACCCTCTATGTTCTGGGCTTGGCCATGGGTCCGATGTTCATGTCCTCTCTCAGCGAGGTGTTTGGCCGCTTACCCGTGTATCATGTCGCCAATCTATTTTTCGTGGCGTTCGTGATCGGGAACGCCCTGAGTCAAAACCTCGCCACCTTTATGATTTGTCGTTTCATCTCCGGCTGTGCAGGAGGGACTCCAATGGCTTTGGGGGGTGGGACAATCGCCGATGTGACGGTGATTCAGCAACGCGCTCTCGCCATGTCGTTGTACAGTTTGGGCCCTATGGCTGGACCGGTAGGGTTGCCCCTCGCTCTCTCTACTCGGTACGAATGACAAGCGAAGGTGCTGACCAGATACTCGTCTGTGATTAGGTACTTGGCCCTCTCATCGGTGGCTTTGTCGCCGCGGGTCTCGGATGGCGTTGGATCTTTTGGCTCCTCGCCATCTTCGGGGGTGCGGTTGGGATTGCCGCCTTGGTGGTGATGCGAGAGACACATCCCAAGGTCCTGCTAGAGCGTAAGGCAACCCGTCTTCGCGTGGCGACCGGGAACTTGCATCTGCGATCCAAGATGACAGACAACCGACCGCCGCAGCAAGTCCTGCTACAAGCCCTCGTACGGCCCACCAAGCTTTTGTTCCGATCCCCCATCTTGTTGGTGATCTCAATCTACATGGCTCTCATCTTTGGACTCATGTATCTTCTATTTACCACGTTCACGGACGTGTTTGAGAAGCAATACGGGTTCACCACCGCGACCTCCGGGCTGGTCTATCTGGGACTGGGCGTGTCGTTGGTCGGTTGTATGTTTATTGCCAAACCCCTGGGAGACCGTGTGACAGCGGCGCGCATGAAGAAGGATGGCGTCACACAGCATCGACCCGAGTATCGTCTTCTGCTGATGATCTACTTCTGCCCCTGCGTTGCGATCGGTCTTTTCATCTATGGCTGGACGGCTTACTACAAGGTGCACTGGATCGTGCCCATCATCGGTACTACTGTGATAGGGTTTGGTTCCTTCTTCGTTATGGTAAGCAAGCCCCTCTTGAGACTAACCATTACTTCCGCTTAGTGACCCATTGCTTACTTTTTTGTTCTGTGCCTTGTGTCCTGTTTAGATGCCTGCGCAGCTGTATCTGGTGGACTTGTTCGGATCGGCAGCGTCAGCCTCAGCGTTGGCGGCCAACAACGTCCTACGGTTCATCTGCAGTACTTTTTTGCCGTTGGCGGGGCCGGCGATGTACCAGTCGCTGGGGTATGGGTGGGGCAATACTTTGCTGGGGTTTCTGGCGCTGGCCTTCCTTCCTGCGCCCGTGCTGTTTTACAAATACGGGGCGTGGCTTCACGCCAAGACGGCAGCCCACTTTTGATGCTCCCTGATCCGCTCTTAGTAGGTTAGTATAAGTTAAGTTACGTATACCTTTATTACTATCAAACACTTCTATACCCGGAGTGGAAAGTGCGATGCTGAGGAGGTAAGACCTAATGAGACTCTCATTCCTTGGCTGCGGGTGATACGGGCCAGCGGGTATTTCCGCATCACCACCACTACGCACTAAGTACTGTACAGTACAGTTAGCATGAAGTAACCTGTCAACTTCTCGCGATTACGACGCAATTAGACCCAATCACCCATCACCCAATGGTTCAAGCACTCATTCACTCAGTCAGAGAATCAGATTGTTTTAAACAACAAGAGTCAGTAATCTAGGCAGGAGAGTTTCCCCCTCTTCTGATTATCTGTCTCATGCAGAGCCTTTCTCCAAACAAGTAGGAACTTCCTGCCGGGTACTGATGATAGCCCCTCCATCTCCAACTCCAAATGATTAGTGATAAGTACTTAGTAGGTAGTGATTAGATCAGTAATTTACCTATGCTCTGTCTCCAACCGGGCATTTCCCAGTAGCTCTCTCCCCATCTTGGCTCATCAAGCCTATCGCCACCCGCAAAAGGTTTCTTCACACCAGACCTGATCTGGTTAACTTATCGGGTCCAGAGCGGCTATTTCCCCCGAGCCTCTAGGCTTATGGTTCATATACCTGGGGCTGAAGAGTGAGACGTATGTCTGCAGTATTGACTTGACGAATCTAGATCCTTCTTTGGTGAGGGGTAATTTTAGTGCCTGGTCCGTATTGGCAGTAAAGCTTCTACGCATGGTTGGGTGGCTTGCTAATTCACCACCGGAGTCGGACTCAGATGGCTAGTGCTTATACTCTATATTACTTGGCTTTTTTATCAGCAGTCAACACCATCACCACCGCGTCGCTCGCCACTGCCTACTGCCCATTGCCCACTGGGAGAACAATTTGAAACGGACATAACAACGTATATGCATGATAAGCGAGCGATATGTCTCTGTCTCATCACCCCCTCCCCTCACTCTAACCTTCTTGAGGGTTAGGGCAGGAATACCAAATCCAGGGAGCATGATCCTGGCTCAAATCTATCACGGTCCCGGGTTGGCTGACGGCCAATACGGCGCAAACAACAGAACACGAAGATAACTAAATGTGTGTATCAGGAAGGTGATAGGAGGAGGCAGTAGTGAGAGCAGTAGAGCAGTCCATGTGGGCGGAGAAAAGAATCGACCAATTCCTCCGGAAGCACTTCAGCCCCCCTTCACCAGAATTCCCGCCCGCCCCATAGAAATCCCTCCCCGCCGCCCACTTTAATGTCCCCCTCTACTCAATCAGACAACGCTCAACAACAGCCATTGGAAATCCCATCCTCTACCTATAGCTCTGTTTCCATACATTTCTACACCGCATTTTCAACAACTATCTCCAGTTACCACCATGAGCGACAGCAATCCCAGCCTCCGCGCCTCATGTGAGCGCTGCCGCGCCCACAAGCTGCGCTGCGTGCCCTCGATCGCGGGCGACCCCACCGGGCCCTGTCAACGCTGCGCGAAGGCGAAGATCCCCCGGTCCTGCACCTACAGTCGACGACTGAAGACGGGTCGTAACAAACTGCGGGGAGGAGACGAGGACCCGCCCGAAGCGCAACCGCAATCGCAATCACAATCACAGTCCCACTCGCGCAAGTTGACGCGCACGGAACGGGAGGTCTTGACCCAGCCCCCACTGCCGGGAATGGGCACCTTTGTGCTTCCTCCATCTTCATTATCTTCTTCCGCGCCCTCCTCCTCTTCGTGCTCTTCATCTTTGTCATCTCTGCCTTCACCATTGGAGTGTCCCGCCCTGCCCCTTGAGGCGACGGAGAAGAAAGACGGCAACCTCTTCGCGGACACTGACGCGATGATTGTGGGTTCGTTTCCATGGGGCGATAAGACTTCGGCCGCATTGATCGACCCACCGGACCTGTTGATTAACACCCAGCACTTCTCGGCGCATCATTTGTCGGGTCTGGACGAGGGGTTGGAAGCCTCTACCGGGAGCGCTACGGACGAGTACATAGCGGGATTGTCGATGTACACCGACTGGGACAGGGTTCTACTGTCCTTCGCACAGGGGGATGCGCTGATGAATGACTCGATGGAAGGAGGAAGATCAATACCGACGACGACAGCAACAGCAACAACAGCAACGAAAAAGATGGTAGCTGCGACGACGGCGGGGCCATCTCCCGCTGAGGACCACTTTACCACTCTAACCGGGCTTCTGGCCAAGATGTCCCACTACGAAGCTCAGATCTCTCAAAGCTCCCGCGCCTCGTCGGCTTCCGTGTCGCAGGATCACCAGAAACATGGGGGTGGTGATGCGCTCGACAACTACCCCATTGGCGATGCACTGTTCCTTTCGCGGGGCTTCTACAAAGTGGTCTCGGCCCACAGGGGGACGGAGGGGGGCGAGGCGGAAGACGAGCCGAACCGATTCGCAGCGTCGGCCACAGAACCGTTATCCTGGACCAGTGCATTCGATATCCCTACGAAGCTACTGACTCTCTCCTGCTATCTGGTCCTGACCCGGATCTACACCGCCATCTTTACCGACCTCTACGATCAGTTGTCCCAACTCTCGGCCATGCACTGCTCCTCGCATCCCACGCGGCAGCCGTCGCTGGACCCCTTTCTGGAAGACGCGGACATGTACCTTGGCCTGCGGCTGGGGGAGCTCCAGCCCACGTGTGGGTGTGTTGACACCCCGGTGCGGGAGACGGCGACACGAGCGCGCAAGGCGGTGGCCATCTTGCTGGGGTCGCTGGAGGAGACGGAGGCGGCTTTGGAGCTGCCGGATGGTGTAAGTATCCTTGCCAACCACAAAGGTGTCACTCGGGAATCTGGGATGGAGCGATCGATGGTGCATGCATGGGAGGAGAACGGGGCGGGTGTTTCCCCGCAGGGCGCAATCATGGGGCTGACGAACGAGCACTTGTACCAGACGATGAGAAAGCAGGGAAGCCACCTGCGAAGCAAGATAGACGAGGTAGAGCATTTGCTGCGAGAGCTGCTGAATATGTATTGATATCCGTATTAGTTCTCGGTTGTTTGCAATCCTTCTTAGAACAATGTTAAAGCCATAGACACACAAATTATGATCTCCCGAACGTAAGCAACGCCTGCTAAAAGCTTGATTACGGGCCTGACCCCCGTTCCAAACAGAGCATGGCTACAGAGAAGTTATCTTCACAAACAGTCCATGTGAACTGTCTGTAAATTCGTCAGACAAGGGCAATACGAAGGCTAGCATTGCTGCAAGGCTCCGATCATCCAGTCAGATAGGGCTTACTCCCTCTGGCCCTAAACGGGAGATTCGGAAATCCCGAACTGCCCTACGCCCAAAGGGGTATTGATTGCCTGCCCCAGGTGTCGACATCGGGGGAATCGAGGCTCGCCGACGGTCATGCAACCCTCGGCTTGATTGGGTTTCATTTCTCCGACCATGTGGAAGAATCCATGCGGGTGCATGCATGAAGAAGCGCTGCTGATGCTGACCAGGCTCATGGCGTGTTGGGAGTTGATACCCGTGTGTTCATTCTTCATAATACTGCGCTTTTTCATTGATTTCTCCTGGTCGTTTGTTCGCCTTCTCTCTTCCTGCTGATTCGACTGCCCTAACCTACCTATATTCCATACTTGGGCGACATATCCCCATTGTCCACTTCTTGTACCCACCGATTTCCACTCGACCCAGACAAACCAACCTACAGAAACAATGGTCCCCGAATCCGTGATCATCGTGCGAGCCCTCACCCCCTCCACCCCCCAACCCCCAACCCTACCCTGTTCTCCCCCAAACTAACCCCACTAATTTCCACTAAATAGATCGGCGGCTCTGTCGCGGGCCTGCTGCAAGGCCTCCAACTCAAACGCCAAGGCAGCAACGTGATCGTGCTGGAACAAGACCCCTCCAAAGACCGCCACAGCCACGAATCCGGCGTCTCGATCGGACCCAGCGTCGTCGCGCTGCTCGACAAATACGACGCGACGGGGCGCCCGGCCGCCATCCCGACGGAATACCTGAGCGCCGCGTGGCGCCGCAACCACCTCCGCGTCGCCAACACGCGCTGGCGCCACCACATGAGCAACTGGGGCTGTCTGTACCTGATCCTGCGGGCCAACTTCGACGGGCTCGCGTCCGCCGCCGTGCCGCACCCGCCGGGGCCCAAGCGCGGGGATGGGGACGTGGACTACCGGCCGGGCAAGCAGGTGACCGGGGTACGGTACGATCAGACCGCCAACGGGGGTAAAGGGCTGGTGGAGGTGGACTATGTGGATGTCACGACGGGGGCGACGGAGACGGCGCGCGCTGGGATGGTGCTCGCCGCCGACGGGGTGCATTCGACCGTGCGCCGGCTGCTGCAGGTGCCCACGCGCAAGGAGTACGCCGGCTATATCGGGTGGCGCGGCACGGTGCCGGAGAAGTTGCTGTCGGCGAGCACGGTGGAGTATTTTGAGAATCGCCTGAATTTTACGCTGTTGCGGGGCACGTATTTTATTAGGTCCGTCCTTTTTTCCTTGTTCAACGGACTTAGTTTAAACGGTATGAATGCTAACGGAGAATAAAAAGCTACTTCATCCCCACCGAACAAGGGCACGTCGAACCCGGGAAACGCCTCCTCAACTGGGTCTGGTACTATTTTCTACCTGAAGGGTCCCCCGAGATGGCCAGGATCTTCACCGACATCCACGGCAAGGTCCATCCCAACACCGTGCCGCAGGGGCTGGTCGACCCGGAGGTCTGGCGCGCGCAGCTGGCCGCCCACCTGCCCAAGATGACCGCCCCGCTCGCGGAGGTGGTCTCGCTCACGCCCCGCGTGTTCGTGACCAAGGTCGGCGAGGCGCAGTGCTCCACGGCGAGCTTCTTCGAGGATCGGCTCGTACTGGTGGGCGATGCCTTCACGGGGTTCCGGTCCCATCTCGGCAAGGCCTCGGAGCAGGCGGCCCAGCATGCCCTGCAGATGGACCGCGTGTGGCGCGGGGAGATCACCCAGCGCGAGCGGGACCGCGAGGCCCGGTTCTATGCCGAGCGGTTGATTCTGCTAAATCGGTTGATTGGGTTCATGGGGTTGGGGCTGTGGTGGACGGTGCTCAAGACCGGGGTCGCGTACTTGTGGGTGGTTCTGGGGTATAAGCTGGGTTTTGCTTGATTTTGGGGGGTTCTGGTTGGGACTACTCAGATATTGGTTGAGTGGAGTATGATACTTGCAATTTCACTTCTGCTTTGTGGTTGACTTTCTGCATGCGTAGGGGTTGAGCTGGTAACCCTTGCCTGTAGACTACCTTTCTACGGTCAAGAGACTATAGAACTCCCGAAATACTTAGGAAATCAAGAACGCAGTGTTTCTGTCTACGTCCCTCAGTACTGCTGTGCTGTATACCTCAAACCTTCACAGTCTAATCACTATCAATCACATCAACCGAACAGTAGACCAGAAAGCCCTCTCCAACAACCTCCCTCGCAGGCCCATGAAAGCTATGAACCGTACAAGATACCCCAGAATCATCGATTACCATCTGGTAAACATAATTCTGTATCAAAATGGGATGGGGGGAACTAGACACATCGTAAGCAACAAGAGAGAGAACGTAGTCAACAGCCATCCCACAATGAAGCCCCCAGCTCCCAGCCCCTCATTCGGCACGCAAGACCCCAAGCACGCCCCGAAACCCATTCCTCCGAACCACTACAGCCAAAGCTAGGGCCATTCCGAGGGTAGTAGAAATTGAGTTCGGGGCATCCTGCAGTGCGCCACCACTGCCACCAAGCCCTTTCTTCATCTTTCCCCCATCCGGCATAGACTGCCTGCTCCATTTCTCCGCCTCGGATTTGTCTTGCATTGCATCTCTCCGATCTGCCCTACTGTCCGTGCTCGCAAATCTTCGCATGCGACATTGCAACAGAATGGGGCAAGCAGGAAATACAACAGATACCTTCATTTCTATACCGAGTAAATCGGTCTAATGCTTCCATCACAAGGATATATGTAGACCTCATCAGGTCGAGCGATTACACAGCAGCCAGAATCAACTTCTCCCTGTCTTAGACTAGTATACTCAACTTAACATTCTTCAGATTCAGACATTTCTCCACCTCTCCTTCTCCAACTCGAACTCAATAGACACGATACTCCATAGACATAGACACAATGGTCGAACCCATCGCAGTAATCGGATACGGCTTCCGCTTCCCGGGGGGAGCCGACACGCCCTCAAAGCTCTGGTCCCTCCTGCGCGATCCCACTGACCTGAGCAGCAAACCCCCGGCCTCCAGATTCGACGTCGACCTGTTCTACCATCCCGTCGGCACCCACCATGGTACCACCAACGCCCCCAAGTCCTACTGGCTGGCTGAGTCGGAAGACTCGGGTGCAGGCAGCAGTCCCGTCGCCCAGTTCGATGCCGGCTTCTTCAATATCCAGGCCGCCGAGGCCGACGCCATGGACCCGCAGCAGCGGCTGCTGATGGAGGCCGTCTACGACGGGCTGTGCGCGGCCGGCCAGCCCATGGAGGACCTGCGCGGGTCCGATACCGCCGTCTACGTGGGGCTGATGTCGGATGACTGGAGCACGATGCTGACGCGCGACTGGGAGACCCTGCCGCGCTACACGGCCACGGGCCTGGAGCGCGGCATCGTCGCCAATCGGTTGTCCTACTTCTTCGGGTGGCATGGTCCCAGTATGACCATCGATACGGCCTGCTCGAGCAGTCTGGTAGCCCTCGACCTGGCGGTGCAGGCCTTGCGCAGTGGGAAGTCCAAGGTCGCCGTGGCGGCCGGCACGAATCTGATTCTTAGTCCAGGTAAGAGGTTCTAGTCACTCGCTGAAAGGGGTCTTACCCACAAATGTAGAATGTCGCTGACCAAGGCCACCGTCATAAAAAGCAATGTATATCTCTGAGAGTAATCTGGGAATGCTCTCTCCCAACGGTCGCTGCGCCATGTGGGATGTCGCCGCCGACGGGTACGCGCGCGGCGAAGGTGTTGCGGCCGTGTTGGTGAAGACCCTGTCGCAGGCGCTGGCGGACAACGACCCCATCCAATGCATTATCCGCGAGACCGCCGTGAACCAAGACGGCCGCACCGCCGGCCTGACCGTGCCCAGCAACATCGCCCAGGCCGCCTTAATTCGGGAATGCTATGCGCGCGCAGGCCTCGACCCCATCCGCAATATCAACGATCGGCCGCAGTTCTTCCACGCCCACGGCACGGGCACCCAGGCGGGCGATCCGCAAGAGGCCGAGGCGATTTCGAGTGCCCTCTTCCCGAATGGGGTCGTCTCCACCGAGGAGAAACTGGTGGTGGGATCCGTCAAGACGGTCATAGGTCACACAGAGGGCACGGCAGGTCTCGCCAGTCTGATTGGCACGGCATTGGCGCTGAAGAACCACACCATGCCGCCCAACTTGCACTTCCAAGACCTCAGCCCCAAGGTCGCTCCATATTTCAAGCACCTTGAGATTCTGACTGCGCAAAAGCCGTGGGTTGTCGCGGAGGGTCAGGTAAGAAGAGCGAGCGTCAATAGTTTCGGCTTCGGCGGTACGAACGCCCACTGCATTCTGGAAGAGTACATTGCTCCAGATAGGACAGAAGGATCCGAGAGTGATAGTCAGCTCTACACCCCGCTGGTCTTCTCAGCCGCTGCAGAGAAGCCTCTGCGAGAAATGCTGGCACAACACCTCGAGTTCCTCAAGACGAGCCCGGACATCTCCTTGACTGATGTCGCCTACACGCTGCAAGTCCGACGATCGACGCTGCCCTACCGGAAAGCAGTGTCAGCAACGACATTCGACGACGCAATCAGTGCCTTGGAAGAGCTTATCTCAACCACAGACACGGCTCTGAGTCCGCGCTTCAGCTCACCAGCCGCCCCCAGAATTCTAGGCATCTTCACCGGACAGGGAGCGCAATGGCCCAGAATGGGCGCGCGGCTGCTCGAAACCTCGCGCTTCGCCGCCGAACGTCTCGCCGTGCTCGATCGTGCTCTCCAGAGCCTTCCCGACCCAGCAGACCGTCCCACGTGGACTCTGGCTGACCAGCTGCTGGCCAGCGCAGAGACTTCGCGGATCGCAGAGGCAGCGCTCTCTCAGCCGCTGTGCACGGCCGTCCAAATCCTGTTGGTAGACATCCTACGCACCGCGGGTATCACCTTTGCCGCTGTTGTGGGTCACTCCTCTGGCGAAATTGGCGCCGCCTACGCCGCCGGGCTCCTATCTGACGTCGACGCCATCCGGATAGCCTACTTTCGTGGTGTGCATGCTAAGCGCGCTGCCAGTCCCAACCTCCATGCGCCCCGCGGAGGTATGATGGCTGTCGGCGCAGACAAGGAGACTGCCCAAGCACTCTGCTCTACCCCTCAATTCTATGGTCGTCTGCAGCTTGCTGCTGTCAACTCGCCCTCTAGTGTCACATTGAGTGGTGATGTTGATGCAGTCGAGGAGGCTGAAGCTTTGCTCAAGGCTCAAGGCACATTTGCTCGTAAGCTGAAAGTAGACACTGCCTACCACAGCGCTCACATGGCCGCATGTGCTGGACCCTATCTGGCTTCCTTGGATGGATGCGGAGTTCAGGCCACTGCAACTCCGAACAGTTCGACAGTCTGGTATTCCAGTGTTTTCGAGGGCCAGCCCATGAACTCCCAAGGTTTGACGAACCAGTACTGGGTGGACAACATGTGCAAAGCCGTTCTCTTTGCTGGTGCGCTCAGTGAGGCCCAGGACGCAGTGGGACAATTCGACCTGGCCATCGAGGTTGGCCCGCACCCAGCGCTCAAGGGACCCGCCACGGCCACGATTGCCACCACTCCCTACACGGGTCTGCTGGCGCGAGGCCAGGACGACGTTGTACAGCTCAACACCGCTCTTGGAGCTCTCTGGACGCAGCTGGGTACCGGCAACATCAAGCTCGCAGCCGTCGAGTCGCTCCTTTCTGGCAGAGCTCACAATCAGGTCGTCATCGACGATCTCCCGTCGTATCCCTTTGACCACTCCAAGGCACACTGGACCGACAGTCGGGTGGCCAACCACTTCAAGCATCGGCAACCGACCCACAAGCCCAACCCTCTGCTGGGCACGCCCATCACTGAAGCCTTGACGCCGGGTGAGGTGCAGTGGCGGAACTTCCTGCAGCCCCGCGACCTGCCCTGGCTCAATGGCCATCAGCTGCAGGGACAGACCGTCTTCCCGGCCATGGGATACGTCAGCATGGCCGTCGAGGCGCTTTCCCGACTAGCACAGGAGAATACTGGGGGCGACAGCACCCTCGGAGTGATCAGCGTGCGCGACGTCCAGATTCCTCGTGCCGTTACCCTGGACGATGACGATTCCAGCATCGAGGTCATCTTCAGCCTCTCGGCCATCGAGCGGTCTGCGACAAAAGTTACCACGCGGTGGGCCTGCTACTCAGTGACGAACGGCAGTACTCTGGTGCTGAACGCTCAGGGCCGAGTGGAAGGAGAGCTCTGTGCTCAGGCCGCCGATAGCCTTGACTCGGGTGCAGCCAAAGACACCTACCAGCTCGTCCCGATCACAGAGGAGCACTTCTACGCGAATCTCTCCCGCGTCGGATATGGCTACAGCGGACACTTCCGGGGACTGAGCGACATCCGCCGGAAGCCTGGATACAGCACTGGCACTTTGACGGACCACGCCGGTTCGGGCTGGGAAGATGACCTCCTCGTCCACCCTGGCACCCTGGACTCAGCGCTGCAGAGCATTTTCGCCGCGTGGTCGTACCCCGGAGATACGCAACTCTGGTCGCTGCACGTCCCGGTATCCATCGGCGCGGTTACAATCAACCCGTATTTCACCCAATCGGGAGCCGGTGGACGACCTGAACGACTAGAGTTCGTGACGAGTATCACCAAAAAGGAGCCCACTCAGATCGTAGGGGACCTGACGTTGCGCCACAATCCCGAGGGATCTGCACCTGCAGTCGTCGTGCAGGTGGAGGGTGCAACTCTTGTCCCATTCTCGCCAGCCACCTCGCGCGACGACCTTCCGATGTTCTCCCAATTCCAGTATGGAGTCGCCACCCCCGATGGCCTCCTCGCCGCCGAAGGGGAGACGCTCTCCGACGTTGAAGTCCAAATGTATCAGGACGTGGACCGCATTTCCTACTGGTATCTTCGCGAGGCCGCCGCCGCCATTCCTGCCACCGAGCGCGATGGCCTCCTGCCCCACTACCAGAAATACCTGGGCTGGTGTGACCGGATGGTGGATATTGTGTCTAGCGGCGCCCACCCGAAGGTCTCGGCTAGCCGCAACGAGGATACTCGAGAGCAGATTGCCGGGTTGTGCGCTCGGTATGCCGACCGGAAGGACTTCCGTTTCGTCGAGGTGGTGGGCGAGAGCCTGGTCCCCGTGCTACGGGCGGGAACCTCCATGCTGGAGCACATGAACCAGGATGGTCTTCTGCGGGCATTCTATGCGGAAGACGCCATCTGCTCCGGACCGACTGGTCGCTGGCTCTCGCGCATTGTGGCTCAAATCTCGCACCGCTTCCCGGGGGTGCACATTCTCGAGGTGGGTGCCGGCACCGGGGCCACGACCTCGGCGGTGCTCGATGCCGTGCAAGGTAGCTATGGCTCTTATACCTTCACGGATATCTCAAGTGGATTCTTCCTGGCGGCCGAGGACCGCTTTGGGCCCGATGCTGCTCGCATGCGCTACCAGACTTTTGACATGGAGCGGTCTCCCTCCACCCAGGGCTTCGAGGAGGAGACATACGATGTCATCGTGGCGGTCAACGTCCTTCACGTCTCGGGGGATATCCAGGCTTCGCTGTTCAACGTGCGCCGTCTTCTGCGGCCGGGAGGTTTCTTGGTGGTCGCTGAGCTGACCTCGACGGACTTGCTCTTCAGCGGCATGACGGTCGGCACGCTGCCCGGATGGTGGATTGGCGCGGACACCGGCCGGCCCTGGGGTCCCTTGTTCACATTGAGTCAATGGGATGCAGCGCTGCAGGCGTCCGGGTTTGGCGGTATCGATACGGTGAGCCCGGATATCAGCGCCTCATTGCCCATGACGGTCTTTGTGGCCCAGGCCGTGGATGATCGGGTCTCCCTGCTGCGGAATCCGCTCAGCGTGGCCGTTCATCCCGAAGGGATCCGGACGGATGCCCTGGCGATTGTCGGAGGAACGACTTGGCCGGTGCACAAACTTGGCCGGGACGTTGCCCAAGTCCTGGGGCCGCGGTTCGGACGCACCGAGTTCTTCCCCACGCTGTCCGACCTGGCTAGGTCAGACTTGACGCCGTCGAAGTTCTCTGTGCCCGGATCGCTCACGATTCTCGTGCTCACCGATCTCGATCGCCCGTTGCTCGATGATGTGACGCAGGACAAGCTCTCTGCTCTGCAGACCTGCACCAGCACGGCGGGTACCTTCCTCTGGGTCACCGCCGGCGCGCGCGACCAGACCCCAGCCAGCTACATGATGCTAGGCATTCTCCGCACCATCCAGAACGAGCAGCCAGACCTGAACAGTCAGTTGTTCGATCTCGAGACCGGTATTCAGGCGGGAACCGCCAACATCCTCGCCGAGGCCTTGTTACGTCAGCAGGCGCTCTACAGCTGGAAAGCCAGCGAACCGGATGCTTCGCTGCTGTGGACCATGGAGCCCGAGGTTTATTCTAGCAGTACTGGCAAGCTTTATATTACGAGGCTGCGAGCCGATCAGGCGAAGAATGATCGTTACAATGCTCTCCGACGCTCCATTAAAGCCACGGTGTCGCCCTCGACCGAACGATTGGCGCTGGTGAGCGTAGACGAAGGAGATGCTCACGCACTGGCTCTGCAGGTCCCTTCGCCATTGCGCTGGTCGCCGCCGCTCGAAGAGCCAGCACGCTCGCTCCTGATCACACATTCCTTGCTGCAAAGTGTGGCTGCGGGCACTGGAGACTTCGTTCGGCCGTGTATCGGAAAGGACATCGACACCCAAGAGACGGTCTTCGCATTGGCCGCATCAAATGAGTCGGTGGTCACAGTGCCTCGTTCTCGGTGTCTATTGGTGGAGGAAAATGTGCATGGGGAGTCAGCACTGGCCTCCCTCCTGGTGTCCCTGGCTGCGCAGCTCATCGCTCAGCGCATCCTATCGATCGCTCTTCCCGGCTCCACTGGCCTCATTCATTCGGCCGATGCTACGCTTCAAGCAGCACTGACAGCGCAAGCAGGAGCGAAGAATGTTGCTCTTGTCTTCACCGACACCGCAGTTGCTAGTCAAGATACATCAACCATCCGTCTGGATCCCCGCCTGTCACAGTCGGCGGTCAAGAGCCTACTTCCTAAAGCTCCCGGCTTCGCGGTGCTGTTCTCCAAAGGCAAGGCAATGCATCAGATCATTCTGCAGCATCTGCCTGCCTCCTGCTTGGTGCTCAACGAGCAGACCCTAATAAGTCACGCCGTTACCGAAAGCGAGCCCAACGCTTCCTCAAGCATTGCTCAACAATTCCAGGCGGCCTACAAGGCTGCCGCAGCTTCTACCGCAGCTTCGCCCCCGCCTGTGATCGCTCTAGACAAGGTAGAGAACCAGTCAGTTTTGGGAGAATCCCTGAGCGTCATCGACTGGACTGCCAGCCCGACGGTGACGGCGACCGTCCAGCCCATCACCTCGGGCCGCCTCTTCCGTCCCGATCGCACCTACCTCTTCATCGGGATGGCCGGAGAACTTGGGCAGTCGCTGGCAGGCTGGCTCATTGCGCACGGCGCCCGCTACGTGGTCCTCACCAGCCGAACGCCGAAGGTCTCCCCGCAATTCATCCAGGAGATGGCCACGCAGCACCAGGCGGTCGTCCGCGCGGTATCCCTCGACATCACCAGTCAACACTCCCTGCTCTCCGTCCACGCCGCCCTAACCGCGACCCTGCCCCCGATCGCCGGCGTCATCAACGGCGCCATGATCCTCTCCGACGAGCTGTTCGCCCGCATGAGCTACGAGCAATTCACGCGCGTGCTCGCTCCCAAAGTCCGCGGCACGCAACTCCTGGACGAACTCTTCCGGACCCCAGACCTGGACTTCTTCGTCGTGGCCTCCAGTATCGCGGCGGTGATCGGCTGGACGGGCCAGAGCAATTACTCCGCGGCGAACGAGTACATGATCTCGCTGATGCACCAGCGGCGCCGCAAGCACGGCCTGCCCGGATCCGCGATGAGTATCCCCGCGGTGCTCGGCGTGGGGTACGCCGCCCACTCCGACACCTTCGACTTCGACTACTTCGCCTCCCTGGGGTATATCAATATCAGCGAGGAGGATCTGCAGGTGCTGTTCGCGGAGGCGATTCTGTCGGGTCGGCCTGCTGTTAACGAGGAGGAGGATCGCCACGCTGCGTCGGCGCAGGTGGTCACGGGGGTGAACACGCGGGTTCCTTCGGAGGAGGAGCTCGTTCCCGAGGGCCGCAGACGCGATGTGAAGTTCTCGCATTTGGTGCGCCGCGACGAGGGCAGTGTTGGGCCTGGTGGTGGGGATGCTGGTGCGGCGGCTTCGGAGCCCATCAAAGTGCGGCTGCAGCGGGTGTTGGAGTCGCCTGCTGAGGCTTTTGCGGTGGTCAAGGAGGCGTTCGTCGCGCATCTTAAGCGGTTGCTGCGCATTCCGGCGGCGGAGGCGGTGGATGAGGCGGTGCCGCTGGTGGATCGCGGGGTGGACTCGCTCGTGGCGGTGGATATCCGGGCGTGGTTCACCAAGGAGCTGCAGGCGGATATCCCGACGTTGAAGATCTTGAATGGGGGTTCCGTGGGCGATCTGGTTCGTGATGCTGTTGAGCAGGTGGCTGTGCGGGCCAAGAAGGTGGAGGAGAAGGTAGAGGAGAAGGTGGTAGTGCAGGTTGAAGTGAAGGTGGAGGAAGAAGTGAAGAAGGAGAAGGATGATGAGGAAGAAGAGGAGTCGGAGTCGGTGACTAAGACCAGTCCACTGCCCACTCTGACGGCCAACAGCAGCTCGGGCAGTCCCTTGTCCACCCCCGCGGCTTCCGATCTCGAGTCGGTCGAGGATCTGGCAGGCGCCAAGGAGGATCTGGGATTCCGCGTCAAGGAGCGCATTTTGGAGGTTTCCCTTGATGCTTAGTTGATTTTGTTGATTCTGTTTCTTTTATGATGCTCTGCGTTTTGGTTGTTTGAATGTTCGCATTGTGATAGTGTTGACTGATTGGCTGTAGAACAGAATCTCAATCTTCCACATGGATTACTTATAAATGAATTCCACTCTTCTGTATGCAAGGCTGTAGAATACAGGCGGACGAGAGGTGGATGTAAGTATCTTAACTCGACTCCCAGACTCCCAAGCGAGGTCTAAGTCCTGTAGTATAGTGTAGCTAATCCCCCTTCTGCTGCAGGCTTCAAGCAGCAACAAGGGCAACATGAACAACCGACAACGAGGCCTAGAACAAAAGGCTAAACGCAACCGCGTCGAAGATCAAGCAAAGGCAGTCGAATCAATAAGAACAAACTGACCACCGAGGCGCGAACAGGAGGACAGATATAGCCAACCGAGGCGCAATGCACCTTGGGGCTACGCCCAACCTTGTAAAGGCCGTTGACCAATCCGTTCAGCCAGTCTTGTCCGGACCCCGCGGGGACTGCTCCGCCGCCGTCATCCAATTTGGAGTGTTCCAGATCAGCTCTTTTTGCCCCGTCTTCCATTGGTAGATTATTATGGAGTACTATAAACGAGACTTAGTATATGGTATGACTATACCGGTTGATTCTTAGTGTTATCTTACCTGGCGTAGTTCGTTGAGTATGACAGAATCGAACTGATGCCATCCGTGATGGCACCAAAACAGCAACCCCCTAGCGTATCACGGCGCGTAGGATCTATCAGTCCTCATTTTCTGCCAAAGCCTCGTTCTACTCTCGGCTTTTGGTGTGGAGCGTAGGTCTCAAAGAAGCTGAAGAGATGAGTCATTCTCTGTGCATGCGACCATCTTTTCGCTGAGGACGATCATCTGCCTCGTACCCTTCAATGTCGTTGAATCTCTTTTGACGAGAAAGCCGTCTTCATCGGGCTCTTTGGAGACTGCGTAGGGTTGAAAATTGCTTGGCCGTGCTGGGGTGGAAATTTGAGGCAAATTGAAGGGGAAAGGTTCCTTGATCCAGGGAGGAAATGGTTTCGTGGTTGTTATTCTACTCTCTATGGTTATCCAGGCAGAGGTGTTTAGAGGTGAATTACATCGACTCCTCAGTTCAAGGATTTGAAGAAGGAGCGATCGCTATGCTGCTAGGACCATGTGGATACTAGCGGACTCAGGTGCTCGTAGGATGTAAGGGAATGATTTAAGCCAGCTCTCTCGATTTTCTTGATTCTTATGTGAGTCAATGCAATGCGAATGGACAAGGGTACCTAGCCTACATCCATGATGGCTCTCAAAATTAGAACCTGTGGCCATACTTGTCCCTCAACAACCGTCGACAACAACAAACGCGGAAACCGTTGCTTCCGATCCCATGCGCTTTATAATCAACGAATCTCTTTTCTTTCTGATCTCTCTTGATCAGACCGTCGAAAGGACTATGGTTATACGCCGCGGAGACTGACTTGAAGAATCAAAGACGTAGGATGTAGAGCTACAAGATCTTGCATTTGAAACAGTGTACGGTAATAAACCCTCCAAGCGCACCAGAGAGTATTCAAAGAGCAATTGAGAAATAAAAGAAAGCAACTGAATGCTGTGACTCTTAAATAGGTTGAATCGGTTGGTCGCATGATTTATTCGAGAATCTTACAAAAGTCGGGCGGTTTTTAAGGACTTGTAGTGCAGGGCATCGTAGCGCGGGCACTAATATAATGCCAGGCGGTAAGGATATAATTTAGGTACCTATTTTTACCCGCCTTGTCCGACACTTGCACCCCTCAATCGACAGCCGCATCGAAACCTGGCATTTCACAATACACAAACGCGATGTTCAGGACTATTGTGCGAGCCTTTGGTCCTCCAAAGGAGAAAGTTATCGGTGAAACCTGCGATCCACCTATCCCTGGACCCGGGCAGGTATTGGTACGGATGCTGCTCGCCAGTATCAATCCCTCGGATCTGATTCCAATCACGGGTGCCTACCGTACGAGAACTTCGCTGCCCTTCGTCCCGGGATTCGAGGGGGTGGGTGTCATCGAGGCAGTCGGGTCCCATGTTTCTGAATTGAAGGTTGGCGACCGTGTATTGCCACTGGGAAGCGCAGGCGCCTGGCAAGAGTTCAAGCTCAGCGAAGAACAATGGTGCTTTCCAGTACCCGCCGATCTCACCGACCAGCAGGCTGCAACGGCCTATATCAATCCACTTACCGCCTGGATGATGACCAAGGACTATGCACCAGCTCCTCCAGCTATGGTGGTAGTCAATGCTGCTACTTCTGCTATCGGCCAGATGATCATTCGGATGCTCAATCGAGTTGGCGTGCGACCAATTGCGCTAACCAGGCGACCCGATGCTCTAGGACAATTGATGAGTAGATCCGACGTGACAGCAGTGATCTGCCCATCTGATGGCGATCTCAAACCAAGACTCACGAGTTGACGGAAGGTCGAGGCCTTACTGTCGCATATGACGCTGTTGGTGGAAGTGAGGGTAGTGATCTAGCTCGCTCACTCGCTCGTGGCGGCACTCTTATCCACTACGGGCTTTTATCCGGTGTGCCCTTATCTCCTGGGCTGTACCAGGAATGCCCAGATGTCCAGATAGTTTTGTTTCGTCTGAGAGATTGGGTACATACCACCGAGCGTCGTGTTATCCAGTCCGCTTTGAATGAGGTTTTTGATCTTGTCCGCGAGGGCATTGCAGAATCAAAGATAGCACGGGTATTCCAACTTTCTTCGTTCAAAGAAGCTCTGGACTATGAGGCTACCCCTGACCGGAAAGGAAAAGTGCTTTTATCGATGTCGCCAAACCTAAATCCTATGAATTCTTGATCTCGTATGGCAGTTTGCTCGAAACGATGACAACCGATTTAGACGCTTCGTACGGGGTTCGGATGACGATAGAGAAAACTTGAGTCTTCAGCTCTCCTCTGCAGCGTCAACCGCAGTCTGCGGATGATGATGTCTCAAGCACTGTACAACTGAATTGAGGAAGGGCGTTTTGAGCAGGGGATATTAGTAGACAATTGGCAAAATAAAAAGAAATGAACATACAACAGAAGGGATTCGCTGGTGGTCACCCACCCAACTACTAACCTCCCGGCGTGTGGCTTAAGTACGGCTGAGCGGACGGGAAGCCCTGTTTTCCACACCCTGTGGTCGTATGTACTGGTTGAATGCACATGATAGCATATACTCTGTATATCGAGAAGTTTTATTGCAACGAGAATCCAATCTACTCCGTACAACAATTTTCCTTTGTCCCATGCTACTAATACTGCTACAAAAGATCTCGATGGAAATCAAGCAAGCTTGCCCTAAGAATTGTACCAAGTATCGAATCGCCAATGACAGCGTGGACAACAGCTAGGACCAATAATCAATGCAGCTGAGGAGACGAGACGCACTTAGCCTGGAATATATAACCCAGGTCCGTGCTTTCCCTGGAAGTATGTAGACCTGGCAGCGCATAGACTATCAACCAACATTTGGACAATAGTCTTCCATATATCAAGGAAGCCCTTATTGCTCTGTCTACTAGCAGTCACCCCACAAAAGTGATTCTAGTTTGTTTCCTTCCGCCCGAGAAGATCCTTTTTGTCTAGGTAGTACTTGAACTCATGCTTCCTCTTTGGCCCCGTTTGCGGGCCGCCGGGAAACCACACCCCGCAGCGGGACTTTTGAAGATCGGAATTCAATACCCTTCACGGGTTGACGCTCTTCCTTCCCAGATCGGACTTTTGCCCTTCTTTGAATTGGGGCAGACTGACTACGTACTAAGTGTATGTGAAGTTCTGTACTAACTCACTACTCCCACCACTTGTAAACATAAAGCTGTGTATCTCCAGCTCTGCCCTGCTGTATGTTTGGAAGCATCAATCAAGTTGCCGTATTCATCACAAAAGTCTGGAAAGTCTCATCGTGTGACCAGTAAGTGAAAGGTAGGGGCTAGACCAGAGGTGGTTACCACTCTGTCTCTACGACTGCGAGTCTTTTCACCCATGTACTCTATGACTGGCAAAGCGAGACGTCTGTCCGGTGAGCAACGATGTGATGCCCCAGCTGCCGTAATTTTCCCAGCCTTGAGGTCATCTTGCGCGAGCCTTCAACAATAACTTCCACCGCCCTGAAACTGATGACGAAACAAGAACGCGATGCTTATGAGTCTTCATTGACATGGCACTAGAACAAAATGAGTCAATCGTTATGACCGGGGTCAAAAATCGCCGACCTTGCCAAATCACATTGCTCTTGTATTTCCTCTTCTTGATTTCGACTACAACAACGCTTATTTATTATGCCTCCTCCAAGAAGAGTTAAGAAGAAACACAAAGGCAAGACTCGCCACTCGTCGGACCCATCGGTGATATTCTTCATTCCCGAGCTCCTCGAAGCAATCCTCCTGAACTTGGATATGCATACGTTATTGATCTCGACTCGAGTCTGCTCCACATGGAAAGATCTGATCACGAGCTCGCGCAAGATCCAACAGGCCCTGTTCTATGTTCCTGTCGAGCCGCAACGAAAACCCAGAAAGAATCCTCTCGTGGTGAAAAAGATCTGGTCCGAATTCATCTACACGCAACTTCACACGCAATATAGACCGGGCGGACACTATTGTGGCTGGTGGAGTTATCCTCATATTGCATCCGAAAAGAGAGAAGAAGCGTATTTGCGCCCTGAGGCAAGTTGGCGGCGGATGCTCCTCCAACAGCCTCCGACCTCAATTGTCCGATTTTGGCACCCTGAGCATCCCGATAAGCCCTATCAGCATCATCATCGCTCTGGAGAGAGCTTTAAAGCTGGCGCTAAGTGGATGCCAAATGGAGATCATATTCGGATGAAAGATATCGAATACTGGATTGATACCTCGGCGTTCACGCCAGGGCCCCTACCTTTCCTATGCTGGGCAAGTTTCGTCCATCTGAAAGAGTTCTTGCGACCCTCCAGGTCAACACTGCGCAGAGACCAGACTCTCAAGCAATGTCTGAGCAAGTCTGATCTCACAATCAATACAGAATGCCCTTCCTCCTGGATGCCTATCTTGATTGACGATCATCATGTACCACTCCGACACTTTCCTGACTGGTGCAGATTGAAGGGTGTAAAACTACTGGAAGGGGACCTCTAGGAGCATGGCTATCACTTCGTCAAGTTTAGTCAAGTTTGGGGACCTCACTTTGTCAGCTGAGGCTTTGCTCGATAAACATTAGCTCGTTTCATAAAAGTTCATTTACAACTTTTGAGAGCCCTGGGCAGATCGGGGAACGTGATAGTAGCACAATTTCATTATCACATATGACGATTAGTCACTAGATAACGAAGAGAGACCGATGGGATTGCGATGATGATGATGAAGAGAAGGGTAAAAAAGGAAAATGGGGCAAGCCGGGCTTGAACCGGCCACCTCCAGATCTTCAGTCTGACGCGCTCCCAGATGCGCCATTGCCCCGTTTCACGTGATGATTGAGTGAAAGTGTGCTCAAGAGCCAGCCGCCAGGATTCACACACCAAAGGCCGGCCCCTCAGTACCATGGTACTAAAATCTGCAAAAGGGCCGGCTGTACATAGATTGGGTTTGATTTTAGCATGGGTACTGGTATCGAGGTGTACCCCCCGCCCCTGCATAGCAATATTCCATCTTTAACCTGGTATATCCTTTAGCTGTGCAAATTGACCATCCTTATTTATTCTATAGGTATAGTTCCTCAACCAACTCTTTCTCCCAGGAGTACAATAGATTGGAGAGGTAATACTTCTGTTACAGGGGGACAAGACTATATGGTTCTGTTGATTCATTCTGAAATTTCTAAACGCAGTTCCAAGTCGAACAGTTGCCCTCCCCCTGATGGGTAGATTGCTCAAAATGCGATCAACGGAATCGCTCCCCTCGCTCCGGGATCTGCTTTCACACCCTCCCAGCAACACAACAGCACAATCTTACCACTACATACACACACTGGAGTACGAGGACAGGGAGCATTCTTCCCTTCAAACATTGTGACCGAAGATTGGTTGTACATATCACCAGCAGCCCTTACTACACAATCGCCCGTCCTGACGACCAGCGTCAACCATGCCCAAACCATGGACGGCAAGGCCCTCCGTTCTTCTCCGCGGTGCTAGTCTGGAACGACATGCTCCACTGCTCCACCCAACTCGTGGCCCCCGCCGCCGCCGACACGTACCGCACCCTTTTGACCAATGAGAACTTCGTCCAGTTGTTCCCCACGGCCGTCGGCTGCGAGGGCTGGGTCCTGCGTCCCATTCTCGAAGCCATCTTCCTCGCGACCTGGAAAAAGGACCAGGAGATTCAAGGCCAGTTGAGTTCCCGAGAGCTCATTGCCAGGGTCGACCGGATTGAATCGGTACTGCACCTGCACGGGGAGCGACTGACCCCGAAGGTCATCAACCATAACAATAACAACCCTAGCACCAGCACCAGCACCAACGACGTCGAACACGACAGTTCTTAACCCAGACCCAGCCCCGAACAAAACAAACTCATCCAGACATACATCTTTGCGCACGCCAGCTTCGTGCACCTGCACACCGAGGTCTCCGGCTGCAAGCCCAGTGTCCCCGAGATCCAGCAGAATACTGAGGAAGTCCATCGCAGCGTGGCGGCTGCTCCCGCCGGCCGCGATCAATTTCCACACAATAGCGTGGCCATTCTTAATACGTGGGTGTCTCGCGGTGGGCGCAGCAGCGCGAGACCTTCCAGACCATCATGGCCGAGAGGTCTCAGGCCCCTGCAACGTCGGGTAATCTACACTGCTTGCGGTCGGTGGTGCAGGAGAGTGCTGGACGAATTTCGATCAGCACGGGGCGGCGCAGAAGGCGAGTGGGTATAATGGGAGTTCCGCTAAGACAATCAACCAGACACACCTGCTCTCCAGTTTAGCAGAACCCGCGATGCAAGAGATTTCTATAGAGTCATCGCATGGAAAGCGCATGTTGTGGCTTCTTCAGCTCACACATGCCACAGCATATGGCAAACACTGTGCCGCTGCGGTGCGCTTGTGGGATGGTGGGATATGTGGGATGCCGTATGACAACCATCTAAGCTTCTGGAAGGTATGCGGAATAATCTAAATCGAACGGATGGGGCCATCCTGAGGCCTTTGAATTGCCTTTGTAAGACTTACTTATATGGAACAAATAACTAAGTTAACTTGATCATGATGAGTCAAGTAGGTGAGTGGATCGGTTAAAATGAGGCTACTCCGGTGGGATAATAGAAATGAAACTAACAGAGGAATCAGCAGCAAGACAAGATATATAGGGGCGCAAAACTATCCCTCAAGCTACAATCCCCACTTTTTCATCACATTCACTCTGTCAATCACGCAGATATTCCTAACTTGTCGACCAAGAACAAAAGCAAGCAAACAAATCCTCTCATCCAGAAAAACCAGCGTCGAAATGCCCACCTTCCAAGGTTCCATCTCCGTGACGCATATCACCACCGCGACAGCGATCATCAACATCGACGGCGTGCGCTTCCTGACCGACCCCGTCTTCTGCCCCGCGGAGTCCGAATACGACTACGACGGCTGGGCCAAAGCCGACTGGGCCGCCTGGGGCTACCAGCAGGCCCCACACCCGGTGAAGCTGCGCAGCCAGGCCGGCCCGGCGCTGCAGCTGCACGAGCTGCCGCCCATCGACGCCGTGCTGCTCAGCCACGAGGACCACGTCGATAACCTCGACCCACTGGGCCGGCAGCTCCTCGACGGACGCCACGTGTTTACAACCACAGACGGCGCCCGCAACCTGGCCCCGCGGCCCGGCGTGGTCGGCCTCCAGCCCTGGCAGACGGTCGAGGCCGTCCTCGGCGGCAAGCGCTTCCGCATCACCGGCACGCCCTGCCAGCACTTCCCCGGCGGTGAAGTCACGGGGTTCATCGTGGAGTGCGACGCGTTCGGTGTGAGCGATGAGGGCCTTCCCAATGTGGTGTACTTCTCCGGGGATACCGTTTGGATCGACGAGCTGGCGGAGATCCGCAAGAAGTGGCATGTCGCGGTTGCCGTTGTGAACTTGGGCAATGCCTTGTTCCCCACCCCCAAGGGGATGCTGCAGATCACCTTTGACGGGAAGCAGGCGGCCCATCTGATGCGCGTGACGGGGGCGGATGTGATGGTTCCCATTCATTTTGAATCCTGGGAGCACTTCACGCAGCATCAGGAGGAACTGCGACGGGTGTTTAAGGAGGAGGAGATTGACGACAAGGTGTGTTGGTTGACGCCCGGTGTGGAGAAAGCCGTTATCTAGGTGTGGTTTGGCGATTGAATCCAAAGGGGCTCGAAAAGGTTGCCATGGAGAATCGTCATCGATTAGACTCTAGAGTGCTGTTGGCATCGATTTTGTTCTGGATTTAGTTTCTTTCTATAGACAATTCCCGTTTCACTACATCGTCTCTAGACTACCACGTCATAGACAACAAGTATCAGAACATCAACCGCGGAAATGAGAGTTATCGCAAGATATCATGATGAACCCACTCACAACCACCAGGTATCCACCCCGTCCTGCAACACCCTCCCACACGCCGAGATCCAATTCCCTTCCTCGCGCCCGTCCAACCGTGCCGACGCACCCCCGGGCTTGCGCGCCTCGATCTGCAACAACCGCGCCAGCTCCGGGTTGGACTGCGCCTCCCAGAGATGCCGACTATCCGGCGGCGGGAACTGCAGATCCGAGAGACGCAAGACGCCCCGGTGTTCCTCTGGCGCGTCGCGGCCCATCGCCACCGCATCACCCTCCACCACTCTGGCCCCATGCCCACTCAGCCGACAGACCTTGTACATGGCCAAGCCAAGGCGTTTCAGCTCCTCGACCCCGACCCAGATGCACGCGACCGAGTCGATGCTCTGGTGGTACCGCTCCAGCATCAGCGGGTAGTAGAAGACGCTGTTGCTGAGGCAGGTGGTGACGAGGACGGAGAGGATGTGCGTGTCGTCGGGGGAGAGGGGGAGGCTTAGATCCAATGCTTGCGAAGGCTTGCTGCTACCATCGCTCGTGCCGTGGCCTGTGCGGGTCAGCACCAGGGAGAAGATGAGATATAAGAGGATCGCCTGGTAGGTGGCTACGGGACATCGCGAGACGATCTCTTGTGTCGGTACGGTGGGATCATGGTCGGGCAGATCCGCAGTGAAAGAGATGGAGCGTGCCCATTTCTCCTGTTGTTGAGTCCTTAGCGTTGAATTTGTGGATAGGAGATCGGGCGGCCAGTGGGGAGGGGGGTTACCTGCTGTGCTAGGATGGAAGATCCCATGTTGCGATGGAGATTGATCGCCGCCTCGCGAGAGGAGGGGGTGTCGCTGACCCATAGACCGATCATGGAGACCACCTGCAAGAGCAGGAGGGGCTCGTCCGGGGGACTGAAGGTGGCGCGATGCAGGATGGGCCAGTGGGGGTGGAAGTGGGTGAAGTAGAGGTGGATGTAGGGGGTGAATTGGGAAGTGGAATTGCCTTGGGTTGGGGAAGATTGGGGAGATTGGGGAGACTGGGGAGACAGAGACTGCACTTCAGGAGATGACGGTGACTGGTGTGGTTGTTGTGGTTGTTGCTGGAGTTGCTGGGGGCGGTGGTAAATACAGGGTTGGGGCTGGGCACGACAGCGATTGCAAGGCTTGCCTCCGCCGCACCGCGTCTTGGCCTGCCGGCAGCCCAGGCACGCTTGGGCCGTGCGAGTTGTTGAGGATGCTTGTGGATCGTGGTGGTCCAGGCGAATGTGACGACGGAGAGAGTCACTGCAAGCTGAATTAGTGTTTCATCCTCGAATGACTGCCTCTTCCAATTCTAACTTACCTTCTGGAAAATGAACGGGCGCAAAAAGGACAGGCCCGGGCCAAGGCCCCCGTATGCTGCCCTTCATGGCGGTTGCGGTGCTCTTTGCGCTGGAAGCTGGAGTTGCACCCGGCTATTCGACACTTATATCGAGGACCAGTGTTTCGCAAGGGGAACATCTTTCTGCTTTGCTTCCTACGGACCTTGTGTTCACTTGATACTTGATGAAGAAAGGGGAGATGGAAATGATGATTCATCCCACCGGCTCCACAAATCCACGATTTCCATCCCACCGGATCTCCCGGAGTCGCCACCACACCACTTTTCCACTTTCCGCTTCATGGTTGGTAATCGCGGCAGTCAACTGTACAGTCAGTACCCTTATTACTTGTATTAGCTGTCTGATTTGCTCTTTAATAACCATATTTTAGTCGGAGTACCGAAGTGTTGTGTGCTATATTATATATGCGAGCAGCCGGTGGGATCGTCCCGTCATTTTTTCAGTCCCAGTTAGAGCCCTAACAAGATCAGAAATGCAGCTTCTTTTGCGCAGTGCTGCGATTCGACAATCCAACCGGCTAGATCTCGGAGTCAACCCTTCCTCCACGCACTGAGGTCTAAATCCACTGGTCCAAAGAGTATCCATTCCTGTACGCCAACGCGGTCTGCGGCCCCTCCGCATCAATGATATAGGCGTACTCGCAGCGATCAAACGTCACCTTGGACTGGTCGCGGTAGAACCCATCGTACCGGCCATCCATGGCCTCCAGCAGATTATTCACCGACCCGTCCGGGTGGAGGACCTCCCACGGCTTGATGCAAATCCTGCCCTGGCACGACTTCAGCACGAGCAATAGAGCATCCAGGCGATCAATCACCGCGGGAATGTCAAAACCCAGGATTGTTGCGTTGGTGGTTGAGACGTGCGGGTGGAGGTTGCTGATTTGGTAGGGGTCGGTCTGGATTTGAGTCTGGTCAGTAAAGCATATAGTGGGGCTGGGGACAGTGCAACATACACTCAGATCGTAGAGCTCGTGCTCGTTGTTACACCAGACGGAGTAGAAGAGGTTGTACTCTTGGCTGAGGATGCGGACGGCCTTGTAGGTGTTGTTGGGGACGGTGGGGGTGCCTGCATTTCAACCTTGGGTGTTAGTAGTCACATTGGAGTTCTTATGCGGGGGTAAAGGGACGGAGAAATGCACCTAGGTTGGACAGACCACCCTCTAGCATTGCCTGGCCCCAGTACTCGACCGCTACATGCTCGTGCAGCGTGCCCTTGACCTCGGCAACGGGCATGGGAGTCCCGTCGAAGTCGTCGCGGAGCGGCAGGCTGGCCAAGGAAAACAGCGTTGGGGCAATGTCGATGTGAGTAGTGACAATATCCTGCTCCTGGCCTTCAGGGATCCCCGGTCCACGGATGAAGAACGGTACGCGGATGTCCTCGTCGAACGCGCAGGTTTTGCCCGGGGGCAGCCGGTGCTGGCTGATGTGGAAACCATTGTCGGACGTGTAGATGATGTAGGTGTTGTTGATCTGGGCACTCGCCTCCAAGCGGGTGATGAGAGAGTCGACCAGTTCATCGACACCCTGTAGGGCACGAAGTCGCTGTCGGTAGTAGTGGTCGTTATAATCGATGACGGATTGGTTGCGATAGGGAAGTTGGTGGATCCAGCTGACACCGGTGGGCTACGACGGTCAGAACCTGGGCCCTCTAAATAGCAAACATAGATTGTTAAGGACGCACCTCCTTGGGATTGAAGTTGGCCGTACGCGGGACTTTGGCGTCGGGGAAGAGGTGGCTATGACGTTCTTCAGGGATGGGCTCATCCATCCACAACGGCCCGGCTCCACCGCCGTAGGTCCCGTTCATGTTCGAGTGAGGTGCGATCGGGGTCACGGTGAGGAAGAAGGGGCGTTCGCCAGCAAGAGCATCTTCCAAAAAGCCCATGGCTTTCTCGGTCAGGACCTCGGTGGTATGACGGCCCAGGTAGCTGACAGGCAGGTCGTGGTTGCGCTGATACGTGGCGTTCATGTAGTCGTAGGTGTAGGGGTCCAGTACGAAGTCCGAGCCATTGAACCCAGCGGCATGGGGCTTGTTGTAGTTTTCGACAGATTGTGCGTTCATCAACTTGCCGGTGTAGTATGTGTCGTACCCGGCTTGCTGCATCCAGACCGGAAGGTAGTTGTCATTGAACCCTTGACTGATAAACTTAGGATACCCACCTATCTCCGATCAGTATCAGAACGACAGGCCTACGGGCAGCAACTTACCCCATGGGGGGTGCACGTCTGTCACATTCGTGTTGTGGGCCTGCCGTCCAGTCAAGAGGCTGACCCGCGACGGGCAACACAGAGCCGTAGTCACGAAGTGGTTGATGAAGGACATTCCCTTGTCTTGCATATGTTTTGTGGTGAAAGGCATATACGAGAGAGAGTCCAATTTCAGATCCTGGTCGTCCGCCATGATGAATAGGAAGTTGGGCGGTTTGGAGGCCGACTGAGCCGCGGTTAGGCCTGCCGCAAGGGCAGCCATAAGGCCCCAAGTAGTGATAGCCAATCGATCTCTGGATATCTTCATGTTGCGCAACTGTCAAGCTGATTGCAATGCTACAAGAACGCACGGTATCCCTCGACGGCGATATTTAAATCTTCTTCGAAAACCTGGTTTGAACATGATGCCATGATTCTCGGCTTCCAACACTTTCTAGCGTGCCCTTCGATGAGAGCACCTTCGCCGAATCCTGCGATCCTTCCCGACGCCCTCGTAGGCATGATCCCATTGACCACCAACAAGAATCTTTCCGGTCGAGAAAAGGTGAAATGAATGGCTATCGTGATACCAGAGTCATACTTCAGACCCTCGGTGACCCACACCGAGGGTCATACGAGGAGGCTAGATGAGGGCAAGTGGAGCCGGTCTTCAGGCCTCAGCCAACTGGAAAAGAGTTTTGAGTCTTGCAGTACGGGGGGAGGTCTGTAGTTTGTGGTCCAATGACCCACATCCCCCATTTGGAGGCTCAAGGTAAGCATATTTGTCATGCCGGTGGGATGCTCGCCACGACCAGAACCCTCTTCTAGTATTATAGATAAATTACTTTAGGTGGCAAATCTTGGCCTCGGTCTTGAAGGATTCCTAGCGTGGGGTGCTACAGGCGATGCCCACAAGGAACCCTCAACAAAATAATATTTGCGTCAAGGATCGGTGAACAAATACAGAGCGCTGAATTCGGGCCAAGATGGCCCGTCTTTGTGGACAAAACCTCACGTGGAGGGAGAAAAAACGTCCAGCAGGGGACGAGTGTCGCACGAGACTGCTGCGTGAACCTCAATCACAGCCTGACGAATTCGTTGCATCGCGCTTGCAGCAATGGGCCACGCCTCCCCCATCGATCTGAGGACCCCCAAATTCAGCGCCAAATACTGCTGCCTCGGCCCCGGTGGTTGCAGGCCATCGCTGAGAATGAGTGCTACGTGTATCACGGAGCTTATCACCAGTGTGCAACCAAAGAACGGGCTGTGGTTGATGACCGAGGGCGACAATGACGCAAGTCGGGAGAGTTGGACGGCACTCTCCGCTACTTTTGCGGTGTGCAATTGAGGGTCCCGGGAAGTGGTGACGAGTGCGGGCGGCGACGAACAAAGGACCCGGCCGGTGATGGGAAGAAAGGCCGAAAGGCAGGAACGTGGGAAGTGCAGATAGATACTGGCGCAGTGCATCAGCATCACGGCCTGCATCATTACCTCCTCCAGAACACCATTCGACTGAAGAATGGGGCGTTGACTGGATGGCAATCGATGGAACCAAGCGGTGATGGCGGCGGTGAGTACGTCAAGCGTCTCCTGAGTGATATGCGACTCGCCGGCGCGCAAGCATTTCCGCAGCATCATGGCGGCTTCGATCCGGTAAGCACAGGGAGAGAACTCGTAATCTCCGCAAAACAGACTATTGTGTTCCATGTCGCCGAGGGTGGGCGGGAGAGTACTCATAATACAGCCTGACTGATACTCTTCGGGTCCGCAGGGAAGGGGGACTTGGGGCGTTTCTCTCATTTCAAACTGGAGGTATCCATCGGCCTGAACAGCTGCGAGTAGTACATCAACCACAAAAATCTCCCACCACGTCCGTCGGAGGCTCTCGGCTCTCAAGGGAGCGCCTACGCTAAGCGCGTCGGAAGCCTCGCGACGGTGCAGACCCAATTCCAGCGCACACTGAAGAGCCTGGCCGAGACAAGATCGGGCCTCGTGGGCTTGCTGTCGCCCGTGCTGTACGATGGCCAGAAGCAGGAAGGCCTGCGTCTTTCCGACTGTCAAATCGGCGGCCTGCACCGCCAGAAGTAGTATCTTGCTGCTGTCATGGAAAAACTGAGGCGATAAATAATGTAGGCTGGTAAACTCGATGATATCCAGTAAGTAAGAAGGGGGATTGGATTCTAGGAGAGTTTCCATTGGGGGCAGGAAAGGATGTGCCTGGTGGAAGTGGAGGTAGTAGAGGGAAATCAACTGCAAGCCTTGTTCTCGTCCCCGGAGCGAAGCGCATTGCTGCAAATCCTGTTCATGTGATTGTGGCTGTTCGTGGTGTTGTAGATGCTGCTCATTCACCTCAGGCATTGACTTCGATGGTATAGGTGAGGCGAGTGATAAAATGGAAGAAGCTGGCAAGGCTGGGCGACATTTGCGACCACGGCGAGACGGAATGAAGTGGCACGGAAGACCAAGCGACTGGCATCGAGTACACCCAGCCAGATTGCCATCACATTTCAGATGCTTGTCTCGGCAGTTTAGACAGGCTACAGGGGTAGTGCAGTCCATGATGACAGGATTGAATAGGGCTTGTCCAAGGAGGAGGAGGAGGAGTATACCATAATATAAATACGGAGTATGGGTTGGAAGAAACGGTGGGTGGAGTAGAAGGAATTGGGGGAGCAGATAAAACGGATTAACGGATAATTCATTCCTCCGACAACAACAACATGATCATCAACATCATCATCGAGTCTATAGCAGAAGAGACCTATTTTTTCTTCCTTTCGGTCAGAATCACACTATCTATTCTACCTCAATCTCCAACTCTTTGTCGAGTTCACACAGACTACGCCCAACCCAGCACTTATACTTGCCCACATCCAATCGCCACTGCCCGGTTGTCACATCATACCATCTCAGCTCCGATCCAGGAATGATGATGGTCACTTCGCGCGATTCCCTTGCAGGGACGGTGATCTTGGCAAGTCCGGCCAACGTCTTTGGATAGCTGACCAGGCCCATCTCCCCAAGACGTGCCGAGGGGGCCACGTACACCTGCACCACTTCCTGCCCGTCGCAAACCCCAACGTTGAGAACCCGCGCGTGGACTGAAACCCGGTTCTCAGAAGAAGAAACAACGCTCAAGGTGCCGCTGATGCGAATATCTGCAAGCTCAAAGCGAGTATACGAGAGGCCGAACCCAAATGACCACAGAGGCGGAATCCCCCGGGCATCGAGATGCCGATACCCAACCAACACTTCTTCCCCAAATGTGTTGCGATCCTGCGCAGCCTCTCCAGGAAACCAAGCGCTCGAGCCATGATCCTCGAGTCGCTGGGGAAAGGTGATGGGAAGCTTACCCGAGAAGTTGCAATGACCCAGAAGAGCCTGCGCCAGGGCCTGGCCGTTTTCCTGGCCCTGGTACCAGGCCATCACGATCCCCGCCGCGGCATCCGCCCAAGGCATAGTGACCGCACTGGCCGACTGCACAACGACAACCGTATTGGGGTTGGCTGCACAGACGGCGCCCACGAGCTCGTCGGTGTGACCCGGGAGCTGCATGTGGGCCCGGTCGCCTCCCTCCCCTTCGGAGTCCTTGTTATGACCGACTACGACCACGGCCACGTCTGCTTCGCGGGCCGAATCAACAGCCTGCTCCAGCATCAGCGTCTCGTCCCGCTCCAGGGCGAGTCCCACGCGCACGCCCGACACGCGAGGGAATAGGGTGTTGTCGAAGGCGTCGAAGAGCGGCAAGGTCACGACATTGTCTACTCGCAGTCGGTAAGGGCGGCCAGCCTCGAGATGGGTACTAGCGGTCCGGTCCTCACTCGAGCAGCCCAGGAAGCCACCAGTCACAACGCCCCACTCACTGTTATCGATGAGCAACTCATCGTCGAGGAACAACTTGGCTTTTCCGGTGTTGGCTAGACTCCAGGTGTAGCGGCCCGTTTCAGATGAAGTGACTACTCCGGCAGCCTGGTACGAGTACGGCCGACCCTCCAGCGCGGCTGGAATATCACCATCACTCATGAGATAAATGAGGGAGTCGTCCCACAGACTGGTCGCCACGACCGGACCCTCGAAAGCATGGCCTGCAAAGAAGCTCACGTGCAGACCCTGGCGGGACCCGTCCGGGACGGTCAACTGACCGCCCAAAAGAGCGGGGCGCAGACTGTCGCGGATCCCGGGCCGATATGTGAGCTTGATGCCCGGGTTCGCAGCCCGAAGCGCGTTGCGGAGGCATTCTTCGGGCGTGGTGATGTAAAAAGGATTGACGGCGGCGCTGCCCGCTCCACCAGCCGTGGGCTTGCGAGCGTTGGGCCCAATAATTGCGATCTTCCGCAGCCTCGAAGGTTGAAGAGGCAGTACGCTCTCGTTTTTCAGCAGCACAAGGCCACTCTGCGCCGCCTCGCGCACGATCTGATGGAACGCAGGGTCGTTGGTGGTTTGTTCGGAGGACACCTCCGTGGAATCAGAGCGGTTGTTCAGTAGCCCCGTTTGTTCCAGGAGCTGCAGCATTCGTCGCACACTCGGATCGACGTGTGTGGCCACATCAATGCGACCGGCCTGAATGGCGGCTAACAGGCGCTCACCCCGACGTACCGGTGGACCTGGCATCTCCAGGTCAGTCGTGGCCAGCAAGCTCTCGACTGTACTGTTCAAACCTCCCCAGTCGCTCATAACCAACCGATCATACTGCAGCTCCTTTCTCAGCAGGCGCGGCAGGATATCGGGACTGAGATCGGCATGTAGCCCGTTGATCCTGGGGTAGCTGACCATGGCCGTCCACGGCGCTGCTTCCGGTTCCTGCGCAGCCATGGAGAATGGCTTCATGTAGACCTCCCGCAGGGTACGCTCATCAATCGTTTGGTCGACATTGAACCGCCGAGTCTCGGTATCGTTCAGGATAAAATGCTTCATGCACGCCCCGACCCCCTGGCTCTGAATGCCGCGGATCATTGCAATGGCCATCACCCCGATCAGATATGGGTCTTCCCCATAGCCTTCGAAATTCCGCCCGCCCAAGGGCGAGCGCGAGAGGTTCATGGTCGGGGCCAGCAGGACCTGGCAGCCCTTGCGTCGGGTCTCCTGCCCCAGAACGGCCCCGACTTTCTCCACCAGGGCCGGATCAAAGGTGGCGGCTAGCGACACCCCGCACGGAATCCATGTGGTCAGGGAGCCGTACGTCCATTTGGACCCGCGGGCTCCGGCCGGGCCGTCGGTCATCTTCAGACTAGGGATGTGTAGCCGGTTGATGTTGGCGGTTTCCCACATGTTCTTGCCCGCAAGCAGGGCGACTTTCTCCTCCAGTGTAAGGGACTGGAGGAGCTGGTTGACAGCTGAAGAGGGAGTATCGGAATGCATTTTTTGCGGGCAGAGAGAGAGAGGAAGTTTAGTTTGCAGGTTGACCGTCCACGCACAGGGGAGTGGTGGTTTTTGAGGTGGTTTGTGCAGGCAGATGGCCAAGCATCCCTGCCGTTTTCGACAGCGTGACCATAATACGGTTCAGACACAAATTACCCCATTTAGACGTCAAAGTTTGCTGTTTCATGGCCATCGCAGTGGCCCCATTCCTCGCGTGAGCCTCTTATAGACCCCTCTAGTCTCGGCGATATAGTGGGGGGGGGGGGCGGAGGGGGATTTCGCCGACCTAGTGGGGAAGACCCACTCAAGCCCTCATCCATCAACCAAGTGGGTGTCCGTCCCACATCGCGTGGGCATTGCATTGCTGCAATTACCGGGGGTCGCATCTCAGTGACCAACTAGTGTGGGGAAGCGTAGAACACGGGGTCCTGGCTCGTCATTCTCCGGAGACAAATTCTCTCTCTCTGTGTCTCCCTTTCTCTGATTATTGGTAAGGCTTGATCCAGTCTAGCAATCCTTGGCGGCCACCTTCATTGTTAAGCAGACGCCACCGGCTTGAAACAGACATACACACGAAGGATTCCGACCTTCGCCAAGCAGGTGCGAATCCTTTAACCATGAATCCGAGTAGCGATTGGATGACACCATGACTGATAGACCTCTGTAACATCATGCTCAAGGCATTATCATGGCGTGGTCGCTGCCTCTCTCGTTGTTCCGCGTAGCTAGATAAAAGGCGGCGAAAGGTCCTCAGCAAAGAGGAAGAATCCGACAAGTCTGCGACCGCAAGCAAAAAACGTGGCTGCAGCGCTCTTCTCGTATCTCTATTTGCTCTCTTGCAGTTTCCTCCCACCAATGGCAGCGCCTGATAGCATACGGAATCTCCCATGGCTCATCTGGGCTGTAGCCATCTTCGGGTCCCTCTCCTCCGCAGGGTTCGGGTTCGACCAAGCCTGGTGGGCGAGTATCATGAGCTCCCAGCAATTTGCCCGTCGATTCGGACACTACAGCCCCCCTCAAGAGACCTGGGTGCTGAGCGACCGGCAGCAATCGCTGGGCACCGGACTAGGCTATGCCGGGGTCATCCTGGGGCTTCTGTGTGCCACCCCGTTGAACGAACGGTTCGGCCGCAAGAATAGCCTGTGGATTCAGTCGGCCGTGGTGAGCGTGGGCGTGATCATCGAATCCACCTGCAAGACGAGCTATGCCCAGTTTCTCGTGGGCAAAGCCGTCGTCTACTTTGGCGGCGGCATCGCCTCCAACGTGATCCCGGTCTACCAGGGCGAGTGCGCGCCCCAGGCTCTCCGTGGGGTGATGGCAGGCACTTACAACGTCTTCCTGATGGCCGGCGGACTGGTGGCGGCCCTCATCGTCTACCTCTGTCGCCACGTCCCCAGCGACTGGGGCCTGGCGCGGAGTTGTGGTGGCGCAGATCGCCATACCGCTGCTGAACTGGATCAGTCTGCCCCTTCTTCCCGAGTCACCGTACTGGCTGATGCACCGCGGACGCCTCGACGAAGCCGGGGTCAGTCTGGCTCGACTGCGCGGCATTTCCCTCGCGGACGCCAAACTCGAGGTCGCGCGCCTTCAACAGCAACAACAACAACAACAGTCGCAAAAACCACAGCAGAATCAAGGTCAGCATCACGACGAGTCCTCCTCCTGGGCTGTCTGCTTCACCAACCCCATCTACCGCCGCCGCACCGCCATCTGTGTCGGGGCGCAAGTCTTCCAACAGGCGCAAGGCATCTCCTTCGTCGCCAACTACCAGGCCGTCTTCCTGCAACAGATCGGCTTCCGCCAAGTCCTCCTGATGTCCGTCGTCGTGTATGTCATCGGGATCGCCGGCAACCTCGCGGGCGTGGCTGTCACCGACCGTCTGGGCCGGCGGCTCGTGCTGCTGGTCTCCGCCGCCCTCCTGGCCGCATGTATGCTCACCATCGGCGGGCTGACGTGCACGCCGACCGACAATTACGGGAGACAGGTCGGCGCGGTGGTCATGCTCATGCTATGGTTTTTCATCTTCCAGAGCACCTGGGGCCCGTTGGCGTGGGTGATAGCGGCTGAAGTGCCCCCGGCCGCCGCGGTGCGGGAGAAGATGGTCACCCTGGCGGGATTTGCGGCGTACGGCACGGGGCTGGTGATTGTGTTTGTGAATCCGTATACGCAGGCGGCGATCGGCGGCAGCGTGGCGTTTATCTATGGAGGATTGTCGGTGGTGGCGACAGTGTTCGTGTGGTTTGTGGTGCCGGAGCTTAAGCAGCGGTCGCTGGAGGAGATCGATGAGATGTTCGCTGAGCGGGTATCGGCCAGAGCCTTTGGGAGGTATCTGTGTCAGAGCATGTTGTCCAGGAGGGACGTTGAAGGGAAGACAGGATCTTGGCAGGAAGAATGCGTTGAGAAGCTATGATGGGGGACCTGTACGTAAGCTTGAGTTGAAGATAAGAAAGAGGAAGAAGATGATAGAGACTGAACTTGTGCCCATTATAGCTGAAATGAGCTGGAATGAGAAAGTTGTACTGTACTTACTGTACATACAGGCCTTTCTACAAGTACCGCTACTACCGCCTATACGACTATACGACATGAAGTATCCAATTTGTAGTGTCGTGTAGACTGTACTTTTTTCCTTTCTTGTTTCCATATGCGCCCTATTACTATCGATCCCTGTGCTAAGGGGGTCTATCCAACCTATCCCATGCCATTAAGTGCATTTCTGGCAGTCTCACGAAGAATAAGCACTATGCTTCCGGATCCGACCTCCCCACTTGAAGAACAACCACGGGAGGGGCGCAAAGCACACAGCCAAGAACCCCAATAAGCTAGACGCCCAGCTATAACCTAGGTTGTGGTACACTAAGAACGTCCAATGAGACCTGAAGAAAAACCCGGGAAGAGCTAGCTCAGGAGAACATACTGGCGAGAGTGAAAAGAGGAAACGAGCCCCCGATGCCGTACCGCAGCAGACCATTGGCGGCCAACGCAGAGGCTCCGAACTGCGCCCCGTAGACACGCGTTAGATACAGGGCGGTCGACACCTATAATGATGCGGTCAGTATGAGAGATACGGCAGAGTGAGGAAGGAACTGCGCACGAAAATCATAATGTTGGAGCACCCAAACAGCCCAATGGCGACGATACTGCTCATCCAGTGCACATGGGGAGTCGATGTCCATGCAAACCAGAACAGTGCCGCCGGCATCCACGGGCTAGCCAACATCGCCGCCCATAGGACGCGTTCCGGTGGCGCGGGGGTTCCCTCTGGGTGTTGTCGACGGTGCAGAACCATAGTGTACTGGTCTGCCGCCAGAAGCCCCAGACAGCCCAGGGCGCACCCCAGCGCCAAGGCAATGAAGACCAACCCGCATTGACCCGGCGTGAAGCCGTAGACATCAGTATATACAAGAGGCACACAGGCGAGGAAGCAGAAGAGAACGGAAAAGTTGAGCGAAGAATAGAGCGAGCAGAGAGCCACGATAGGCTCGGTCAGGAGCATGTAGACCGGTCGTGCCAGGGTGACGGTGAGCATCACTCTGACGCCGGCCAGACCCCCGGGGATTGGACTCGGAGGGACGGACAGGCCCAGTTTGACGGCGCGACGGTGGAGGATCGGGCGAGCGTAGGACTCCTGCGCTCCTGCACTGAAAGCCCAGCAGGCGGCCCCCAGAAACAGCGTCGTCCACTGCGACCAGCGCCAGCTCTTGTACTCGGCCACCCAGCCTCCGACCAGAGATCCGACGGCAGGGCCCATGAAGGCGATGGTCATGAGGACTGTCACGCCACGGCCGGTCGCTGGCCCGCTCCACATGTCCATGATGGTGCCCGCTCCGACAGCCAGCGGAGCCGAGATGAACATCCCGGCCAGCAAGCGGCACACGGTGAGACTTGCTAGATTGTTTGAAAACCCGGCCCCGAGAATGAACAGCATTGCTAGCGGCGTCATAACGAGGTAGATGAAGCGCCTGCCATAGGTCTCGCTGAGAGGGGCAGCGATCATGGGTCCAAATGCCAATCCGTATACGTACATGGTGAAAGGTAGAAGCGACTTGGTGGAGGAGGTGTGGAATGCGGCTTGAACATGACCGTGGGAGGGCGAGTAGATGGCAAGTCCGAATGATCTATGAAATCCCAGGTACCTGACATTAGCTTTGCCACATTACCCAGTTTTCATGCTTGTGTACTCACATCAGAAGACACAGTACCGAAGGAATCGCTGTGTTATAGAGTTTCTTATGTATAGCCCAGTTCTGCGCGTTGGCTGGGTCTTCCGCCCATGCTGGAAGTTCTGGTAAGGTGATAGACACCGTCTTGGGCTCATTGCTGTCTAAGCTGTCTGACTCCATCGTTGTTTGTGGCCGACTCGTCTCTGCATGATAGTCATTAGTATGGAGGGTCATGCTTTTATAAAGAATCAGGAGGGGTAACCATGAGTGTTATAGATCGAACGGATAATCGGATGTTGTGAAGTGGGCAAAGGCCGGCGGCCCCACTATTTCGGCGAAATCCTCCCTTATCGATTGGACCCCTAGATGACGGTGGATTTGGACGGTGGCTTGGAGGGTTTTTCATGCTCACATCTGTCAATATCGATAAGTAGCAAACCTGATCCTCTGAATCTCGGAACAGGATTAGTCCCAGTTTGAAAGGTTAGTTGGTCTTATCTAAAAAAAAAAAAAATAACAGTTTTTCCCTCAGTTAGCCCGTTCCCAATGCAGTTTTATATAATCTAGTCGATTTCAACTAATTGAACACGGCCTGATTTACTCTGCTCTAATGTCGATGTGATTCTGTCGTTGATATCCTCTGAAACGAGAACAGGACTGTAATTGCATACTAAGAACCCTATGTAAGACTTGTAACATTTGTGAATTCACCGTCGTGTATCATTCGCGGACAAATCAGGATGAAGCCTTCGTGATCCAGATTGCACCCAATCACAAGCGAGCTGTCCTTCTATATCCAGGATGCACACATCCATACTCCTATAGTTGATAAGGAACCATCAATCAACCTGGTAGTAAATAAAAAGTCCCGCACAATTTCAGCCAAGGACAGAACTACCTTGACTGCTCCTGCTCCATCGCCTCCCGCTTCTCTTGCAACACCTTCTGCACCTCCTCCCTCCTTTTCATCCGCCTTATCCACGCCCTTACATTGGGATACTGCTCCTCCAGCTCCCGAACCACCCCCTCATCCCGCACCATGAACGGCACCAGCTCCTGCCACGGCACGAAGCACAGATCCACAAACGTGCACTTCTCCCCGACCAGCCACTCTTTGCCCTGCAGAGCGCGGTCCAGCACCCCCATCACCCGCCGCACCTCCGCCGCATACCGCTCGATCGCAAGCGGCACCCGCTCGGGCTGCCGCTGGAACCACCCCAGCTGCCCGTAGTAGGGCCCCTGCCCGGAGACCTGGAAATGCAGCCACTGCTGAAGGTGGTGGCGCTCCGGGAGAGTCTCGTAGCTGAGCTGATGGCTTGAGTCGTAGGTTTCGATCAGGTAGTTAACAATCGCGCCGGACTCCCACAGGGTAAGGTTGTTCTGATTGGGGTCCATGATGGTCGGGAGACGGCCGTTGGGGCAGAGATCCATGTAAGGGTACTTCTTGACGTCAGCGAAGTCGACCATCACGGTCTCGTAGGGGAGGTGGAGGGCCGAGAGGATGAGGGCGACCTTCCACGGGTTGGGCCCGATGGGGTGTGAGTAGAGGGTGATTGGTTGCATGGTCGTTGGGGGGTGTAGGTATATCCAGTACTGTGATACAACTTGGTTGCGATGGTGGAATTTTGTGCCAGAATCCTCCTTGTGACTATCCTTCAGGGGCTGGTTATATAGTGTCGGGCAGGATGAGGGCTCCGGCCAGGGTGGAGGGTATTGCATTCGCCGAGATTTCGGTTCATTCGCCGAGCATACTGTAAGCGAGTCCGTCCTCGGGTGGCAGGAACCGCAGTGGATGGAGGTCACCTTGGTTGAGAAGGGCAAACAAGCGGGTGGATCGGAGCCGTTGTCCCCCTGGGATTGCGATTAGCATCTGAATATTGCAGTCTAGGGTTCGGCGACCTGGTCGCCGCCGATTATAAATGCACGCGAGGAATTGGTGCTGGTGAGTCCGCATAGCATAGTAGTCTTTGTCTGCTATCTAGTAGCGGCCACGAATCTTGTTTAGCTACTGCAGCCTGTGACAGTGCTTGAAGCACAAAAGTTTCCTTAGGATACCTGAGAGTGTGTATCATAGCAGAAGAAGGTAGCCAAGCAATCCCTCACGATGCGACCCCACCGGTACCGGTGGGCATTGTGTGTTGTGGTCAAGGAGACCGACCGCTCCGGGCACCGCGGTTTAGAAGCGCCAAGACAGCATATGAACATGTTGGGTCAGAACAGAGCACGAATACATAGGCAGATAGAGATATATTTTATGCCTAAGTATACACCGGCACATACGACCACAGGGTGTGGAAAACAGGGCTTCCCGTCCGCTCAGCCGTACTTAAGCCGCACGCCGGGAGGTTAGTAGTTGGGTGGGTGACCACCAGCGAATCCCTTCTGTTGTATGTTTTTTGCCTTTTCCATTTTTCCCGCCCTCTGCTTATTCTTTCTAACTTGCCAGCTCCCAAGTAGGCCTATCGACTAGGCATATTTCACTTTGCCTGTATTCGTGCACGATCTGTATATGCCTCTTCGGCCGTATCGGAGCTGAGTACATTCCTAGCCGTCAGATGGCTGCTCGCCTGTCTACTTCCGAGATCTATTCCCCCACTGGCCGGTTGCAATATAATCTCCCGTAGACGGTTCAACATGAGAAATTCGACCTTGAGCTTGATGCCATAGACACACGGCTTCAGCGCTCCCTGCAAGTAGAACATTTTGGCGCACTGGATGCCGAAAAGTGTAAAGTCCAGCACCATGATCAGGACATTAGCGTAGATCAGCTGCCAAAGTACATCTGTTTGCCCCTTCAAGTTCGGACCCTCAGGATCGACGCCATGGAGGAGGGCCGATGCCGATCGAGGGGCATACGGTGAATAGGGACGTTCACGCAGCGGGGCGCGGCCGCGCAGGAATGTTTGTGTATGTAAGATGTATAGCGTACTGAGGGCGGTTTCTTGGATGAGGAAGGCGGCAAGCTGCACGCGGTCCCAGATGAGGTTGGCAGAGGAGAGAGCGGGATTGATATTTGTGGCTTGCTATCGAGAGGTATTGTGAGTGACCTATTAAACCTGCCTATTGCTCTTTCTTCTTTGGTTTAGTCAAGAACCCTTACCGCCATAATCCCGATCACGATAGTCGGTATCGAGAACACCACCGAGTTAACGATGAGAATGAACTTCAACGTCCTCATGGTTCTTGCATTGCGTAACAGCAGATGGAGTCGCGAGTATAAGATCCAGCTTTGCGGAACGACCATCATCAGCCATGTGAGGTAGATCAGAGTGATGGAGGGGACAGGGTCCGTCCAGACTTGGAAGTCGGCGAGGATGATAAAGAGAGGTTGGAGGATGATCGCCCACGAAACGAGTGCGCAGGACCAGAAATATAGTCCGCGGCGTCGCTTGAAGGTCAAGAATAGGGACGCATCACCTCCAGCCCTGGCCACCAGGAGATTCCGATGAAGGCGGCCGTTGTCATGGACATGGGCAGATCCTGCCTGATGTCGTTCATGCTGGGAGACCTTTGGGTTACGATCTCAGCTCTTCCTGGCTGCTTACAGTGATTGTTGCTCGAGTTATGATTTTGAGGATCGGCATGCTTGCTTGGGGCCGCAGGGTACCGTTGGAGTAAACGGAGTAACCATATGGTACAGAAGAACTACTAGGCATTTCTAATAGTGACTGCTTGCTATATCGAAGGGAGTATGTTGTGTAACCAGGTCAAGCCCATCATTGCCGTGCATCAGGTGTTTGCTTCTACTCAATTTGTATCGCATCCAAGGCAACCAAGCGGCTGGAAGAGTATGCTGGATCCCAACCATCAGCTACACATGTAATACGAGATGAGCCATAGGCAGATATAGAATCAGGTGTTTATTCCGTAAGGGAGTCTAATACAAGCCCTGGCCAGGCACAAAGAGCAGTACTAGACTGGATACCTTGCCCCTTTTCTATCCCGGTAGCACCAGCATCCCTGTGAGCACTTGAGGTTCGGCGCATTCGAAATTGGCAAGTGAGCGGTCTCCTTGACGGGAAGGAGACGAGGCTCTGCGCTGCAAGCTACAAGGAATTGCAAGGATTATGATGTTCGTGACTTAGAATAGTCAGGCGCGGCAGAGTAATGGCTCAGCGATCAGCGTTCTTTCTTTGTTGGCGCTATAGTTAGAATTGGCATTTGGGCCACGACAATAAACATGAACAAAGTTGGTCAACTTTCCACCTGCCATTGTAGCTGGCATTACCACCTGCCCCTCAAAAACCCTCAAAAACCCTCGTACATTCCACGGACGAGTTGCCCACATGTGAGTTGTTTTCAGGGCTCCTAATCCTTGAACTCGTGAATGGTAAGGGTCTGTATGTTGGTGAACCAAAAGACATGAAACATTTTACGAATGAAGCGGTCACGCCAGGAGCTGCCACTTGGAATGATTGCTGAAACGATATGTTCCTTGAGACTCGGGTTCTTCTCCAGACTCCACTTTAGCTGTTCTAGCGGGATCTTTTTGCCGACGCGACATTTATTCATGGACGAAGATATCAGGATAAAATATTGGCGTTAGAAGATTATTCAAGCGGCGGGGAGCGAGTAAAAAACAGTGCAGGTATTCAACTCTCTGTGATGGATTATGGTCGATTGCATAGCGGTAGGCGTCTCCAAGCTTGTAGAATGGCATTTCGATTTGCTTAGTGTCTGTTTGTAGGTGGTCAATGAACTCTAGAATTACCTAATCTGTAAGATCCAACAGGGGTGCCATGTTTCTCGCTCTTTAGGCCATGATTTTGGATCAACTCCACCACTTTGGCAATGATGTTCACGAAGACTGCCTTGCCAGATCTTCCAAAATATTTGGACTGTTTGCCAGGAACATTCTACAAGATTCTATGGATTTTAACAATATCTTGCAATAACTCGTTCGATAGTAACAGGCGATACGATACTACCAAGTAGGAGTGGTTGAGAGACTAATCAAATACAGTCATTCTTGAAATTGGCTTGACTGATACATCCTGAGAAACTCTTCCGCGGCCCCACCGCCAAGACATTAGCGTTCAGTATCAATCAAGCCCGCCTCCTTAAGTTGCGGCCCGGTGTGACTTCCCCGAGCTTGCGCGGTGACATTTTTATCCGTGAGACCCTTAGGTTATTGTCAGTCCAATAGATATCCTGAGCTAGAGTCTAGGCAGCGGGGCTGAGAAAGATAGTCGAAGAGTGTACTATTCAAGCCGATTTCGAGAACGACGGTATAGACTAGGACGTTCCCAGAAAGGGTTCGGGAGAAAATTCGCAAGTATATATGGGGGAATCTGTTTTCGAATATGGCAGTAAAGTACATAGTGTAATACAAGCGTTACTATGCTAGCATGGCCCTGAGGAGAAACCACTGTGGCGTTCCATATGCATGCAGAAGGTACCAAAAATGATTTATGAGCGCTGAATGTAGGTGCACCAATAGAAATCACAACGAGTCTGAATTGCTCACAAGCCCCTAGCTGGCAATTTGGATGGACAAATACATGACTTATCTTGATGGATTTATAGAATCTCCGTTTTCCGGGTATCCACCAATCCCGCTGCTCCAACAATCTCGTTCATGCTTGAGGCAGGAATTGCTATCGGAATGCAGCAGCAGAATCCTGGTCAACGGACCTCGCCTGAACTGTCACCCTAAGGTGTCTCCACCCCACCTCCGTCACCTGACCTCCTACACTTCTCCCAGCATTAGGTGGGATAGAGGGTACGACGGATAGAAGCTTTAGCGGATTATGATTGGACGTTCGAGTGCTGGCCCTACAGCAGCTCCTTTTCTGGCAAGTAGCACTCTCATATGTCTTAGGAGTATTGACGGCCGCTTACGTTGTTCCTCCGGCGCTCCTTGTCCAACGAAGCCATATAAGTCGCAGCCCATTTCACGTCTCTGGAGAACAAACCAAGAACTCTCTCCAACAATCCAGATCTCTCTATACATGTACCAAGCAAGCAGCGCCAAACAAATGGCAGAACAGATTGGCCTAGCGTCTGGCCTAGTGGCAGTGGCCACTTTCGCCTCTCAGTCCAGCGTCAGTCTCTATCAGATGGTCCAGAGCTACCAAGGCCTCCCTAAACGGGTACGCGATTTGAAGGAGGAATTGCAATTCCGGAATAAAGTTCCTGAAGGCCTTACGAGATACTCTCGTTCTAGAAGTAAGTTTGTCAGGAGACCATTCAGATTAGCTACTTCGGAAATATACACATAAACTCGTAAGACATCTTCAAATTAAGCTCCCTTGGACATATGTAATGCGCCCCAACGTGATTTCCGTTTAGATTACAATATTTAACCCCCCGCGCCGTGGAAAACGATATCAAGATCTTTTCCTAGACGAGCAGAGAGAAAAACAGAGGCCCTGCTCGCCACCCGATTGGTGTTCCAGGTCTTCCAGTCACTGGCAGGTACACACTCTTGACTAGTAGCTTTTGCATCTTTGATCTACTGTTGGACTTCTTTCTTGCTGATCTGTTTGGGGAATTGGATGTCAGTCAAGAGCCCGTCCAATACCTCCGTCGAACTTGCTGCAACAGGCAATGGTGCTCCTGCAGTTGTATAAATTATTCAAAATAAACGCATCCAACTTAAAGGATTTGCTTCGTCTGCAGACTCGTCAGCGGAATCAACGCAACCAGGGCAATCCGAGAAACCAACATTTTCTTCCCTGTTTCTTCGCTGCAAGGGAGAATGAACTCACGCAAACCTCAATACACATAATACCACTCTACCGCGCTCCTTTCTTCCAGCAATACACTTCTTTCCTTGTACATTTTTGAGCGCCACCCTACGTTAGGCTTGTTTATGGCTCTGAAACTCCTTTCCCCAGAGCTATACCTAATCTGTGATATGGTAGAGAGCCAGCCACTAGCCACTTCTCAAATGACTGAAAAGGCTGAGTGTAGCAAGGTTACGATCGTAAATCTTCGCAAAAACTTGCGGCATTCCGGGAGCTTCCACGCACCCCCAACTAGTAGAGGTCGGAAACGACCTGTGACCCCACTAATTGACGACGCGCTCTGCGACCACCTGTCAGAAGAACCGGACCTGTACCTTGATGAGATGGCTGTCTTCCCCTAGGTTGAGTCTTTCACTATGATCATACCCTGTAGCATCAGAAGAACCCTTCAGAAGAACCCTTGTCGTCAAAGGCTAGTCCAGAAAAATGGTTGGGCAGTATGCAAAGGAGCGTAGTGCCGATGGGCGAGAACTTTGTCTCCATAACTTGTCGGATCTTTAGTCGTATCATCTAGCTTACGTTGATGAGTCTGGATGTTGATAAGAGGGCTATAGTTAGGCGCACAGGCTGGTTACCACTTGGTGTGGCCCATTTACAGGAATCGCAATTTCTTGGCGCCCTGCGACATTGAATATTACCTGCGTACGCCCAGGAGGGCATCGGCCCCTCGCAAGTATTCCGCGGTTCATTCGACACCACATTGTTCGAAGAACTTCTGGCTCAGATTCTTCGGCACTAGGGACGATGGCCTCGAACTGAATCTGCTGTGGCCATCGAGAATGCGTCCTTCCATCATTCAGAACAGATTGCGCTGATGTGCGCGACGTGGGGGTTGACTAGCATATCTGCCGCCTTACTCATCAGAGTCGAATCCGATCGAGGAGTTTTTCGCTGAGCTGAAAAGCTTTACACTTTGCTAATGAATTTACGTAGGCGTGCTTATTACCTTCTCTCCGAATTCGAGCAGCGTTCCAATGACCCCCATGTGCTCATTATCTTTCGCACCTAGCAAGGGCCTCTATGCGAAAAGATCCCTAGATTCTGCCTTGATAGCTTCTATCGTAGCGTGGGAATTTGATTTGCGATCTATTGATATAAGTTGTCGCTCTGAACATATCATTCAATGTCACAATAATTACGAGGGGGTTATTTCTCATGGTAGACTGCTAAACTAGGTCCAGGTAACTAATATGACATGACACTATAATTTTAAAGACAGGGCGACATCATGTCCTCACGCTACTGAAATAACCTAGTTCGATAAGGCAAGATAAGGCATTTGATTTTCATGCTGTCAATGAAGGTTTCGCACGATATCTCTTTGGAAGCGGGCACTCGGCTAAAGACCATATTCATCTATAATCATCATTTTGCCACGTCAGTACCCAGCCCGTGAGGCCGTATTCGTGCGGCGTTGATACGATCATCTGTAGTGCCGATATACTATTGGCCGACATACCAAGGCTCACATATTAAACGCTTCGAAGGACCATGAGCCCTAATATCCGGAATTCTTTGCGAAGTATAGTTGCGCATTACTAATCGACCCGACCGGCTAATCGTGCGAGCCGTGATTGTCCCCGATGGAATCACAGACTGTCATAGCGCTTACAAATCAATAGATCCAATGTGCTTTCCGGGGACTAATTGAGGGATATTGAATATCTTACAGATTATGCAGACGTGAGCCTGGCCCAGGAATTAGATTTCCAAGCCTTCGATTACCAACCACGTTTGGCTGGCGAGCGCTGGAATCAGCAAGTGGCTAAAAATGACGCCGATAAGACTAGAATAATACCGGAATTGGTTCTCGCAAATATATAAAGCCTGTTCTGTAGCCGCAAGGTCCTCATGCTTTATGCATTCGAGAATCTTATCGTCTTTTCATACTGTTATCAAGAGGCCACAGAACTAAAGAAAGCATGGCATCTCCCACCATTGACAAGTCAAAGCCATATTTTCCTCTCGCTGGTGGCGCTGATGATGGCTGGTCTACCGAGGATGAAGCGACAGCCACATGCTTTTGTGGTGCGGTGCAACTGTCATTCGTAAGTTTCGAGATCCCGAGCCTACTCTCCTTATTGTGCTTCTCTAATAACGGCTCCAAACCCCTAGCCAACCCAAGGACCTGGCTACCTTGGCTCTTTCGTCTGTAACTGCTCCGACTGCCATAAGCTTACTGCCTCAGTGCACGCAACCAACTTCACGGTCTATGACACGCACCTAAAACACCTGCGAGGTCGCGACAACTTGAAGACATATAGCCAGTCGCGCACTGTGTTCGTCAAAACTCCTGGCAAGGACAACACCATGACCAATTACTTCTGTTCCACATGCGGCTCGCTTATGTACCGCGTTGGTGCGGCTTTCCCGGGCATGAGTATCTTGCGTGTTGGGAGTGTGGATGATTTCTCTTTGTACGAGACGAAGCTAAGACCCACCATGGAGCAGTTTACGAAAGACCGCGTGGCCTGGAAGGCTCCCACGGAAGGAGCCAAGCAGTTTGTGGAAGATGGCCTGCATGTACAGTAGAAGTCGAAGTTGCAATCAGCTACCAGACCAAGCCCTTTTTTTAAACATATTCTGCATGAGTCTCATGCCAGCCATTGTCAACCATAGGGAGAAAAAAGATCTATCATAAGGCTCAATTACAATCTGGTTGATGGAACTAATTTATAAATAGTGATCAATCACTGCGTCCTGAAAACATGCATTGCGTGGTCTTGATGTGTCTCAAGAGTCGCAGTAGTGACGGAACATGAAGGATTTGAAAACCAACAGTCTCTGTCTTTGATATGCGCAGGAACCATAAATCCGACTTGCCAGCCATACCTGAACATGGCTGTATGACTTGGCCGCTATGTGCATAGAAATTTGGCAAAGCGCTAGGCTCGAAGCTAGACACCTGGTGGGAATACTAGGCGCTGGTCTTTACGAGGATAGGGCGGATGCTCTAAACATTCTGATTTGATAATAAATAATAAAGCGAGGCAACCATCACGGCGTGATTCCAAGCATAATGTGATTCAGGGCTATAATGCGGGGTGAACGTGGCATGAATTGATTGGGTTTTTGAGTGGTTCAAACGTGGGCGCCAAATATGGGTGCTGTTGAGCCTCAACCCCGCATTGCAAGATATCTCTATGAGAACGGAAGATATCGGGACGGTAGCCTTGATATTTGCAGTTTCCAATCAACTAGAGCAATGCGCAAAATGTCTACACCAATTAAAACATATTTTCCGAGTCGCTAAGCAAGAGGTTAATCTGCTCGCAGATGAGGTGTCCGCTTGCCAGAGCCTTTTCGGAATTTTTAGGCATATCAGTCATCCGCTAGAAAACCGCGTGATGCAGTTGGCTCGCACACAGAGCTTAGAGAAGATTCTCAATTCTTAAGCAACTTTCGCCTTTGGCCAGATTAACCAGATTGTGATGAAGCTTGAGCGATTGATAAAAGATACCAATGCTTGTGGTTTTGACATATTTGTTGCAAAACTTCGATGACGTTCAACAAAAGACGAAGTCCAGGTTCCGCTTATTATGCAGAATAGTTTGAAACTAAGTTTTGACAGCCTTTCTCATTTTCCTCCCACTGGTGAGGTGACGCGATGAAAGCCTGCCGTGTAGATGAGGAGGCGACCTCGGCGAGCAATGAATGACGAACTTGACCTGAACAAGCGCTCGTCACATTTGTGGATCGACATAAGCATGAGAAGAGTACTTACTGGAGCTAAGCGATTGGTGATAAGCCAGGAGAGATCGGTTATACTTCAGACTGACACCCAGCTCATCCCAAGCGCGCAGAGTACTCGCAAGCTCTATAAAGCATTCGATAATTTCCCCAAACTCCGCGCACAACCCTCCCGGATCTCATCGACCAGGAGCTCCAAGGGCCAGGTGGTTATGATTCAAGTGCAGGGAGGCGCAATTGGCCATCATCATCACATTTCCGATTGTCTCCCAGCGAAGGCGTTCCCCGCCTATGCCGCGGCGAAGGTCATAGGGCGATACGGACTCGGCGACAGGCATTGGATAGTAAGTCCCGCAGAAAAGGTCAATCCCAAGGTTGAGCCGGTCGGCCCATACGGTCGAGGTTGCGAAGCTGATGCCACAGGAGATCCCACTATGGTCGTAGGACCGGTGCCGGAATGATAGAGGGGTAAGTGAAGTCATAGGTGTGGAGGATAAGGCTTTGCAGCCCATGCAAACCCTTGCGGACGAATTCCACTACCTCGAGTCCTAGGGCGACGAATTCCAGATTGAGTGGGCAGAGATGAACCGGATTTAACAAGTCTTCGTCTTCTGGACCATAAGAGTTTGCCTTCTGTTGTCCACTGTTTGGAGCACGGCCGGCAGCAACAGGCGAGCTGTCAGCGCTCACTGGCGCTGGAGCGGCCGAGGATAATGGTGGGGAGTCCGCCACCGAACCGACAGGTCGGGTTTCTCTTGCTGCGCGCGCAGAAGCGGAGACACAGGGCCGCTGCTTCTGGGCGCAACGGGCGCAACTAGGCAGTGAAGGGTCGCATTTGACCTTGAGCCTGCGACACGCTTCGCACAATTGCCATTTGCCGTTACGTCGAGACGGCGCTGGTGGCATGATATTGTTGACTGTCTTTGGATGAGCGAGTCACAACAAGTTGTGTTGAGTCGGTTAGTCCGGAGTACCTTATACGGAACGAAATTCTGATACGGCTGAAGTTGGGCGTTACGTGAGCGCCAAAAGAGGCAGGTATCTTTCCTGTCCACGGTCACGGTGACCCATTCTCGCGATACAGTAACCTTAATCATTCGATTATCCCACCTTTGAAGTGTGGTGAAGATGGACCTTGTCTAGAATGCCTGTAGCCTGACGAATGAGCTACAAACACACCCTCCCTAACCTCCTATATTTCCTCGATCGCAATCGGATTTCGTAATATAGCTAGCCTGCTTCAGAGCTTCGACCACCGTCGTTGGCAAAAGGGCGTTCTCCAAATCATCCAACATGCCTTCGTCAACTTTCACCAACCTCGGAACTAGCAAGGTGACAGTGATCACACATCTGACCTGAATCTTCCCCTGGAACGCCTGAAATCTACTTATCGCGATGTCAAGCCTCATGCGTATTAGAGTGAGCAACAGGTAGCAAGAACCTCTGACAACGCCATGAAAGATCCGACACCAGCCAATCGCCCCCTCATGTCTTCGACAGATCTATCCTCACAATTTCCTGAAGGAGTGGCAGCGCAATCTCCATGCCCGCGCCCTGGAAGATCTCCCGAAAGCGTCGAATGATCCACTTTCGGGCCGAATCTGCGGTGGCGGGCGATTTCCCGACCATGTAGAGACACCAAATCAGAATGTATGCACCCGACACGCTGGCTCTCGGGCTCAGGTCCCCTGCATAGGGCTGAGATGGGTTCGCAGGCGGGGCCACGATCCCCAGCGCCTGCGGTACGGTGGCCAGGATATCCTCGCCAACGCGGGAGAGGATTCCGAGTGTCTCGTGCAGTTGCCGACGGCGCAAACGGACTTGTGCAGCCGGAGCGGCGGGGCTCAGCGTGAGCATCTTCTTCAAAAGGTAGCATATAATCTCGCAGACGATCATTTGGATGCTGCGCGCGTTGTTCCAGGCTCGAATCGCCCACGGGTTGAGGTAGATGTCGACGCGACCGTTGTAAATAGTGTCGGGATCACTGCCTACCCATCCCGCTTCCTCCGCGGTGGTGGCATAAAACGGTTCTTGGACGGCGAGGGTCGCCATCGCGATTTCAAAGTCCCGCTCCAGTACCAACGCGGCGCTTAAGAGACCGGGGAACTGAGTTGTGCCTGTGGTCTCCATCACCTGCCATAACAGGTCCACACACCGGGTGGCCAGCACCCCTATCTCCCAGACAGCGTTGGGGGCGCCCACGTGCTTGGCGGCCTCGTCCTGGAGAGCACGCATATCCGCCGGAAACGGTCGGTTGGTGCGGGTGCAGGCGGCTATAATGTCGGTGCGGACCTGCGTGAAGAGGAGCAGGGCGGTCGGGTTGCCGCCAGCGAATTGGTCCTTGCCGCGGAGGACGGTCAGCGCGGCAGCCCCCTGCACGTGACGCATCCACGCGTCAAAGCCCGAGAAGTGCTCGAAAACACCCAGGGAGATGACGGCCATCAGCGTGCTGTCCTTGACCGACTCGACGGGCGAGGCCAGGGCGGCGTTGACGCTCCGAATGGCCTCCGCGTACTTGATGCGGGCTTGGCGCACCAGTTCCGGCTGATGATGGGAGTTCGCCAGCGTCACCAGGCCGACGGCGGCCAGGCTGGCGACCAGGGTCGGCTGGTCGTCATTGGCGCCCAGAGTGGCCGGGATATAGTTGAGGTATCCACGCGAGGGGCTGTGGTCGCCGGTGACAAAATGGTGCAGGAAGGCGTTGACGCCCACCTGGTCCATGCTCGGACACAGTGAGGGCAGGGGGGGTGGGGGCGACAGGGGGCTGTGTGTCATCGCGGTCGAGGCTGCCTGACACTGCGATCGCTGGATGGTTTGTTTGGTCTGATCGCGGAAGACTAGGTCCCATTGATCTCGATAACCGGGACATTCTTCCCGCAGTCGAATACATTGCCCGCAATGGGGGCGCTGTTTGTCGCACTGTTCGGGGATAGGTAGTCAGCGCCCCTGAACCACGGAAAGACCGAATAGAATGTTACCCACACGTCGTTTGACGGCTCGGCAGTTGCCACAACTTTTGGAGACTCGTGGACCAGACATCTTGTGCGGAAATTAAAATTAAATCTGTGTGAATCCTGAATCCTTCATTCAGCACGAGAAAGTGCCTGGGTCCTGCGGCAGGGGCATCGGTGGCATGTAGAGAGTGAATTGGCAGGTGGGGTGGGGGTGGAGAGAGACACCCGCTGGAGAGGGAGCAACCGAGATCGGCGAAGGCCAAGAGATTTCAATTTCCTTGGTCATTTATTTTGTGGTTTGGAAAGCGGGCCGCGGGACCCACTGTCTTGCCGTCAGCACTAGTCCTCTTACAGTAGGCGAGATGCTCTACCATTCATAGTCCTTCAACAACTTCAAAGTTTTAGGGCTGTGTTTGCCCAAACATATAAGCCTCAACAGCATTTAGAAACATAAATACTACCTCGCTTCTGCTCCTTCTTCTTCTCTGCTGTATCCCAGTTCAAATCTGCTTGACTATCGACAAACACCACTTTCCAGTTGCTGCTTCTGTCCCTTATCATCTACAATGGGCACCGTTACCTACCGCGACGGGATCGCTATCCTACAGCTCATCGTCTTCCCAATCATTCTTGTGGCTGCCATCTTTATCTGGAAACGTACGGGCTGGCGCATCGGCAGCAAAATCTGGCGGTTCGCAGTCACGCTCTCCCTCATCCGAATTGCCGGCAGCATTGCGTCACTCTTGACCATCAGTCATGATTCCTACAACGTCGAGGTCGCCGTAGCGGTGTGCGAGCTCATCGGCATTGCTCCTCTGCTACTCACCTATGTTGGTCTGTTGAGACAAATGTAAGTGCCAACGATAAATCAAATATGCCTACGACTGCATGTTCTGGGACAAGCTAACCACAATGAAACACCAGCGACACGCAACAAAGTCTTCCTCCCCGCTTCCTCAACATTGTGGGCCTCGTCTGCATCATTGGCCTGATTCTCGGCATTGCAGGGGTCAGCAGTGCGGATGACAACGGCGGCTACCACGCGAACAGCATCGTCAAGGCATCTATGGGCATCTTCCTCGCTATCTTCGTTCTCATCGTAGCGATCGGCGCGTGGCTCTTCCTGCATCTTCGCCCCACCATGCGGGCTTTCCAGCGAAAGCTCTTTCTTGCGATCGCCTGCTCCTGCCCCCTACTCATTGTCCGCCTGGTTTACTCGGCAATGGGGGACTACACGACCGACACCCGGTTCATGGTGCTGGTGGGCAGCCCCACCATCTATCTATGCATGGACGTGCTGGAGGAGATTTTTGCCATGCTCATCACTATGGTTCTGGGGGTTTCGGCAGTGTTGGAGAAGGACTTTGTGCAGTTGAGTCCGACTGAGAGACCCGCAAACGGGAAGTTGGAAGTGGTCTAAGTGCTTTTGTTTCAGTTGAATAGAGGATCTGTTTCAAGGCTCCTTGCAATCTGGTGTATTGTGCTTATAGTTTTTGTCAATCAAGTGGGAATCTTTATAGAATCATGACCTGCGTGGCAGAAACGTAATCTCTTGCATATTGGAAATTGTCATTGAAGGGTGTAGACGCCTTACGCCAAAACTCTCTTTGGTGCTCTCTTCCTTCCTGGTCAAGTAGAGCCTGTTGTATTTGGCATAGAAACAGCTATGGAATATTGCGTTTAACAAAAAGTGAGTTCGAGCCGCTTCCAGAGCTCCAATACGACGAAAGGGTAGGTCATCTCAAGACCCCACAAAAGGCTCCTTGGAAGATTTAGTAGCTTTGAGGCTGTGCGCCAACGTCGATCATTACCTTCGACATGGAACAAGCATGTCGATTGACCGACAGGATTGACATGTTCCGGGCGTGCTTGGTACTGGGGCAGCGTACCCACTGTGGGGGCCCAAGTGGCTGTGGTTGGCTCGCCCGGTTGTGCTGCGAAGTTCTCCGCTTATCATCCCGTCATGAAGCCTGGAGCTGAGCCTCGAGACTAAGGCCCGAAAGGGTAATCGAGATGTTCAGCCAATCAACTGATGGAGCGAAGCTACTCATGTAAACATGCAATACCGATCGGTGCAGGTACCTTAGTAGCTTGGAGGTCTTCATGATCATGGATGTACCCGCAACTCAGCCTCATCCTCCAAATTGCCCTAACCACGCAATTCCGGTCACGCCGAGCACGCTCTCAACCATGTATAAAGTTCAGCTTGAGCTTGGGCTTCCCAGTGGGTTCCATCGAAGCAAATAGGCCTGTTCTCCTTCTGCTCAAACATGAGATTAACATTCTCAACTCGTGCGATCCTGGAGTTGTGCACGCTTCTTCCTCATAGCCATTCAAGCCCTCTCCTACATCACCGTCCAAGAGCTCTCGTTGAGAATCTCGATGTAGTTCGCTTTGAGGGGACAGTCACGAACAATGTCGAGTCGTTCCTGAATATCCGTACTGGCCAGGACACCTCTGGTCCTCACCAATTCGCCGCCACCTGCCCGCAACCACAACAGACGGTTTCCACTATGCCCCTGTTTGACAAATCACCACCATGTCGGAGGACTGTCCCACTCTCTGAGTCAACCGACCAGCCAACACCCTATCTTCCCCCAAGCTTCCCGTCATGGTCTGGATCTATGGGGGAGGGGGCTCATTCGGGCAGATCTACGACTCAGCCAACGACCCGACAGGTCTCGTGACCGGCGCTGACCAGAAGGGCTTCCCTATCATCTACGTTGCCATGAATTACCGCGTCGTGATCTTCGGGTTTGCTGCCTCTCCCGCGCTCGCGGCCAGCGACTCCCTGAATCTAGGGTTGTTGTCACGGCATACGGCGGTCGGGGAAAGAAAGCACCCTTCCAACCCGCCATCATGGAATCGGGGCAGCCCAATGGGCGATCCAGGAACAGCCGGCAATAAGTCTTCGGTGCATACCGCACAATTGACCAAGCTGGTCAATTGCACCGGGACAGCCAGCATAGCGGAGTGCAATGACTACGCACGTTGCCCTTGCAGCAACTCAACGCAACGGCCGTCGCGTACGAGGAGGCCGTCGGCGGTGACTCGGGCATGGATGTCCTTCATCTCCAACTCCCCGTCCAGCTTCATTCCTGACAGACCCTGTCAGCACCTAGCCACCGGCCAGTTCTCCCGCAACATCGATACCCTTGGCGGCTGGAACGAGAATGACGGCTCATTCTCCACCCTGCCTACCCTCGCCTCCGACACGCAGGTGGCCTTGTTCCTGGTAGTCGAGTATCCCGCCCTGTCTGCCACCCGTTTATAGCAAGCTCTAGCCCTGTATCCCGTCTCTGATTTCGCGGGACTTTAGAACATCTTGGCGCAGTACTTTCGCGCGAGCCGAATGAAGCGCGACACCGAATTCTCCTGTCCCGCGCTCTACACCGCGCAGATGACTGCGCGGTACGCCACCGTGCCCACCGCCACGAACTGTCTGTTCGCCTTCAACCAAACGCTCTTCCGATCCTGGTACGCGGCCACCAGTAGCTCCGACCTCGGGGTCTCGCACTTCAGCGACATTCCCTACGTCTTCAACCAGGCGCAGAGCAGTCCGCGATACGCCCCGTACGCCACGCTGGCCGATGGCCTCCTTTCCTCAGAGATGAGCGGCAGCTGGGCGGCCTTTGCAGCATTCGGGTCTCCCTCGCATGGCAATGGCACGATTGCTGGCTGGACGGGCCTAACCAACGGTTCTATCCCTTCTTTGTCTGCGCCTCCCTCCATGAGGCGAACCGGACCGAGAGCAGTTCCCCGTTCAGATTATCGGTGGTCCGGACAGTGGGGTTCGGGAAAGCGGGCAGAATGTCATCCGGGGCGGGTACGAGGGCCTGGCCGCTCGATGTGCGTTTTAGACTTCTCGCGAGGTGGTCGAGGCATCATAGGTTTGAACCAACCGCTCAGGGACACTGTTATGAGCTAGAAGATGTTTCATGTGTACCAATATTTAGTCACAACATGTAGAAAATATGAGATGTCGCTAGTTATGACCATTTAGCAGGACGCATCCGTGTTTAGTGGTCTAGCCGGGCTATCCTCTCTCTCGCAGCCCCAAGTCTTTCCCACCAACCCACGTCACATAGTCCAGGTCTGTTCACAGTCCGCCAATAAACCAGGGCACTTTAACACTCGCGTGGGTGCTTCTACTACTGCTGCCAGCCAGCGACCAAGTACACTACCTTCAATACCAGACTTTCCACCCACGCCTGCCAATGTTACCTGATAGGATGTGGCCCGTCCTCTACGAGGTCGATCTGCACCGACTCCCTTTCATCAAGGAGTCCATGACCCTACAGGTGAGCCGTCGGCCTGGTCGAAGACTATAATCTAGGAGCTAAGTATTCTTGAAAATGGGATAAATGGTAGTTTCGTTTGATTTTCTGCAATGTTTCAGGGGCTGGATTGTGTAAAGATAGCACAGCCGCCCGCGCCGCGACTGGGTAAGGGTGGAGGAGGGCTTTCGAGAGTAGCGTCATAGGTAGTGGATAGAAGCAAGCCATGCATCCCTTCTTGTGAAGTACAACCTGGCGATTTCGTTGCTCCGTGCAAGTCGGGAATTTGGATGATATGGATGAGTGATCGATTCAGGTAATACGTGAGTCTTCTGGCAGCGAGGCCAACTCCATGGCGTTGCGGGCTGTGAACAGCCTGACCCGGCAGTGATGCCGGAGCAGGTTCACGGACAACAAACGACGTCACCGATGAGAGGATCCATGGCTGCTATTCCGCATCATAGAAAAATACGGGCTGCGACATGTTTTGTGAATGTGGGGAGACGCCATGTATGAATTATGTTCTCGATAACATTACGTTATTTCAGACATAGGTACAAGCAATGCTAGCCTATGTATGAGTACAGAACGCTTGCACGACACACGGTGAACGAGTTTATCGATCACTAGAGCAAATTAATTCTCGCTGCACCCAATATAGGCCATAGCTACATTGCCTTCATAAGAAGATCAGAATTCCGATATCAGCTCGATGTTGGTTTTATAAGAGATAAAATTTCTAGAGCGACCTAGCTGCTTTCTGAGTAAAAGTCTAGTTGACTAAGTAAGCATCGCAGGAAGTGGAAGCGTTGTTAGCCTCACCTTAAATGTGCAAATAAGGCTCAGGAGCCACCTCAGCTCCTCTGGAACAGGCATAGGTTCGTTACGGGAATGAAGAGCATCGCATTTTTGATAGCACCAGGCTAAAGCCTTAGGGTCTTCTTTAAAAAACAAAAGCTGGTGCCTGCATTCGCGTAGGGCTAGCTGCGGTTCTAGGTAATATAACACGGTCAAGATTTTACAGTAGTTGATTGATGCGCTGAACTTCTTAATACTACTTGGACGAGTGGGCTTGTTTTCGTCCATATGTATTACACACAGGCATTCACCAGATAGCATTCTTCTCTCCTTGCCTAGTTGCGGTTAGTGCTTCCTCTCAATTCTCTGGTTTCGCCAGTGTTATCAAACGTGTTTGAATAATGATACCGGGAACTTAGGAAGTGCTTCTCACCGCAAGGACGCGAATCGCGCTTTAGGTAGAAGATACTCTGGGTATAACTAATGCGTTTGAGCTTATTATAACGCACTACCTTGCCCCAAACAAACTATAGTCACCGGAGGTGTTCTAGATGCTCACTTTGATACTGGAAAGGCAGGGGACGCGGCTGAGAACCGGTCACCATTATTCTTTTTTTTGGAATCCCAATGTTATACATTCAAAAGTACAGAGAAACATTGGGTACTATAGCACAAAGGGAAACGCAATTTTTGAGGGATATTAAAGCCCAGGTATAAGCGCTATCGCCACGGCATATATATCAATTGTGCCCCCTTTAACATCAAGAATAAACTAGTCTCATCGTGATACCGAGCTTTATTTTCTACTACAGTTTTTGGACTTGCGACGTTTATCGCGCACGTATATGACCGTAGATGTCTTTTTCGGATTGGACCGGCGGGTGGTTTCAAACAAGGAAGAGGCTGCAATCAAATCACTGAGCTTATGAAATCCATGGCTGCGAGAGTCAAAGTCGGGATACTTTTTGGTAAGAAGATTACCGACATCCGAGAGTCTGGCCCATCCATCGTCATCAGATGCTGCTTCAACGGTCGTTCGTAACTGAGTTGCTAGGTGTTGGTCGTTTGTCGCTTGCTGAGCCCGCGAAGAGCTACCGGACTCAGCATTGCTAGCAGCGTGCGGGGCAAGCTCATCAAGATGCACCAGATTCTCGGTGTAGATGAATTTATCACAAGCGGTAACAAAGGGCTTGGGCGTTTTTTGCTCGCCGAATCCATAGACCACGAGGCCTGATTCGCGGATACGAGCGGCTAGCCGGGTGAAGTCACTGTCACTAGAGACAAGGCAAAACCCATCATAGCGACCAGAGTATAGAAGATCCATCGCGTCTATGATCATGGCCGAGTCGGTTGCATTCTTACCGTGAGTATAGGCAAACTGCTGTATTGGTTGAATTGAATGTCTCAGGAGCCTGTCCTTCCAACCCTTCAGATTGGAACTGCTCCAGTCTCCATACGCCCGTTTCACATGCGCTGTGCCGTATTTCAAAATTTCTGCGAGAAGAAAATCGCTGCTGAAGACTCCGGCATTGTCCGCATCAATAAGGACAGCGAGTTTAGCAATATTATCACTAGGCATCCTAAATGAATAGCTTAGAAATGCTCGAGTATATGTCAGACTTCGAAATAACATTCTGAGGCTTGCGGCAATTTTATATGAATATACTTTGACAAACCGTACGTTATGACGACAGTCTATGTCATTGAATGCCCAGGGCCATGGGTACTTTACCGCTCTGGGTTCCTGTTTCGAGCATTATCGGGATATGAAGCACTATAAGACTAAGCCCATACAACTCCCACTCTCTCCCTTCTCTTCCACGTTTAGGAGCTTGTTTGAAATTCAAATTGATACATGCTTTGAGTACTAGCAGACAGTCGAGGAAAAGGAAGTTTTAATAGCCTGGATTAGCGGTGTTTCCTCACCCAATGAAAAGTATCTAAGCCTTTGCCTCTTGGAAGCTGCATGAGATCACAGGTATCGAATCAGCGAGCAACTGGTGGCATAACTATCGAGGTCATCGTGTGTGTGAAGCTTAGGTAATGGTTGCACTGGCGGCCTCAGGACTGGATCTAGGCCCTATATCCTATCTGCCCGGCAGATGGCGATGTAACATTCCTGTCCTTGGTAGTCATAGGGTGAACGGCATGGCAAGCGTCGTCACGGATGACCTTCGATTCTTGAACTGCTTATCAGCACAAGAGGGGGCTTCCGATTCCTGCAAGCTATTAACCTTGTCAGCCTTGGCCTCAGAACTCGAGACACTGATTCTTGTATTTAGTGCATAAACCGCCTTTCTCTTGCTACGTCTCCTGTTGCAGCTTCAGATTGATATGCAAACAACAGTCAATTCAGTCATGAACTTTGAGTTCAAAGAATAATCAGAAAACCTGTCCGGGCCATCGCTCATGATCGAGTATATAATATTCTGTGGTGACATAAGTGTCCAACTTCGTGAGCCTTGACGTACATCACTACCCCATCTTTCATCAAATTAGGAGGAAGCGTGGGTCAGGCAGTCCTTGATGCAATAATAAGAAAAGGCGTTATAGAATCACGGCTGTGTCAGTGCGGAACTCGAGATTTAAAAGATCGGGAGTATGTAACCCTGTAGTCGAAAAAGGATGAGGGTATAAGCACGGATATGTGCCTCATCTCATTTTTCTCCGTATACAGCCCTAACATTTTCCCTATTCCCTTGCATTCATGCAGTAGTACAACATACCGGGACTGATTAGACCAATTGGACGCGAGCCCGATTGAGTCGGTGGCGGCGGTCGAGGCCCTGCCACATTCCTGATGTCAGGATGCGTGCGTATGCACTTGGCTGGTTGAATATTTGAAGGATACTGACGATCGTATGCTTACGCTTCGGGTAATAGCTCCCTAGGCAAGACACCTTCCACCTACAAGCTTGGACAGTACCTCGTGGCTACCAGGGCTGATAAATTTCTCGCCCCTCCCAACGCCTCCAACCCCACTCCTCACCAAACCTATCTAGACCTTCCAGGCGGAACCGCTTGCAGCCGATTACTTGAAATGCTTGCAGAAGCTTGATACATCTTCGAGAGCTTGACGCACCTTCTCGTGCTGGTTGAGCTTTCTACACCTGGCTCTTCTGCCACCAGGAGTCGTAATTCTAGTGGCAAGTCTGCAAGACCAATGCTCGCAAAGCACAGTACGAGACTGGTTTTCCAGTGGCTTTTGGTTAAAGAAAGAGGCTTACTGGGAAAGTCAATTGTCGAAAAGCTCACAGGGCGAAGGCTTCGCAGGTCAAACAGCACCAGAGTCAAGACCGTGGTTAACCTGCCGGTTTATCTGAAAGTTGCCAGTACCGTTTATATCTCTTCTAGGCGAGCCGACAAGCCGGACCCACCGAAACCCAAGTGCATTCGAAACCGTTGGATAAGACTCCTTTTCATCTTCAGAGGGAAAGAAGCAGTGCCTCATGATTATAGCCATGTGTCCACAATGGACCCGGCGGCAAAGATCAACTCGTCCTGGTATGGCAAAATTCTTTGCGCATTAAGGCAGAGAATAGCAAGTACTATAGTAGCCCAGCTGCGTAGGGGTCTACGGTTTTGACGGTCCGATAGGGCGGCTTCGGAGACCGAAAGTGACGTGCGTCAAATGAGACAGGCGTACTAGATAGCAGCAGCAAGATGAGTATATAGGTGTTTACTTGTCAGTTTACTAAGTCCTGAACAGAGAGATAAAAATGATGCAAAAAGATTGCGCTATTTGGATCACGTGCTCGAGCCAGAGGTTCAAGCGTCGTCGTCATGAAGTGGAGCTCGTAGTGCGCGTCTTCTCCATTTTAATATGCCCGAGGTAAACGCCTCTTCCAAGGCGAAACCCGTGTGTTGATTTTGACCTGCGTCAACGATCGTGGTCCGGCATCGCAAAAAACTTCGCTTCGAGGCACAATCTACCATAATAAGGTATTTTAAGAATAATAATCATATTCATTGAATCTCGGCACGCAAAATTACTCCACGGATAGTCAATACCACTTTAAACGCCGCTGTCAATTTTTGTGGCTCCGCTGGCAGTCACACTGCTCGTTGAATCTTTTTTTTTTCGCTTCTTCCATCTACTCTGTGACACATTTGACATAATTCCAGACCGAGACATGCATAGTCTTATCTCACCATGGACATCTTTTAGCTAGCCCGACACCTTTCTCGCTGGTCTGAGAAGCCATACCTAATATCCTCTTTATGGCTTTGCCCCAAAGTTAGCCGCGAATCAAACCTTGCTGAGCTGAATCATATGAGAATAAAACCTACCGCTCGCTAAGAACGCGGAGGACCCTACTGGTAGTTAATAGTGTGCTAGGAACCATAAAGATTAGAGGCTACTTGTCGGACCTGGGATAGAGGCTTGTCAGTCGAAGCACGCACACACACACACACACATACACAATATCCGCAACAACAATGGTCGGTAAAAGAGATGAATGAGCAGAGAGCAACATCTGATAAACAACCGCATTTCCATACTGTCATAAACTCGTCGGCGATTGGGCCCAGTTTACTGTATAGCTGTTGAGATGTGTTAGCAAAGCTCAGCACCCAGATGGCCGCAGGTGTCAGGAGAACATCTTGGTTCATACAATCTGATAGCTATTGTCCGAGAAGCCGGCGTACTGCTGAAGGGAATCATCGTCACTTGGTAGGTTCTCCGTCGCCTGGATGACTCCGGCCTGCGTGCGAAATGTGGCCAGAATCAAGCAGAAGTCATCGTCGACCAGGAGGTCTCGTGGGCTCGAGAAATCTGCGTCTCGAGGCATGGCGGAGATCAAGCTTGCCGGATGGAGATTGCGATACGTATCTTGATTGATCAGGTCATAGTTCAGTCAAGTAGCTTGGAGTCTATGACGAAGAATCGTGCAAGCATGACATATCTGCTTTCGGTTGCAGCTTGAGTCTAGATCCGCGCCTGATAACAACGACATCGCTTTGCGAATCAGTATATTAAATGGTGGGGACCTTTGGAGAATATCAGTATTGACGGGTTGGGGTGCAGACTCTCGAGGGCGTAAATGGGGAACCATCGCATCACTAACATTAAATCCGCGGTTTGTCCAACGCGCAGGTTTATATTGTCCGGTAAGACCAATGATTGTCTGACCCACAGAATGCCGACTACAAGGTAAAACATGTCACTCCAATGCCAAACAAGATTCTTATGCCTACCTCAATGCTATGAGGGAGTTGAAGTCTTCTGGTCAGCGTGGTGGATAGTGGCTGTATTGAAGCTTGGCTTAGCTGCTGTCTAGCTGTGTCGGCCAGGGAAAAGATTCGGTACTCATCTCTGTTTATAATGTTCTTTCACAACAGCATCTTGGATAAACAGGTGGTCGATGACCGTAGTGTCCAGCAATAGTCACGTAGTCTCATAGTAAACAGCCTACGGGGTATGTATTCGCATCGAGATTGTGACTGGATCGTCGATGCTGAGGGATCTACCCTCATTTGGTCTTAATGTAAACTAGTTAACTTAGCAGCGCTTGCTTTATCTAAGCCCTTTCGTCTTAGTCATGCATCTCGTTGTATAATGTGCTTGGTGGTATAAGTATTTGTTTTGCCTACCTCAGATGTATGCGTGGACAGGAAGTGCTGGGATCGTGTACTGTGCATCAGCGCCCTGAGCTGCGAGACTGCTGACATGACCACGTACAGTATACAAATCAGAACAGCCAGCTTTAACGTGGGACCTTACCGGTCCGCGGCAGTTGCATGGCCGTTCAACAGTCGCTACTGAAGGGATGGAAATAGGCAAGGCAACAAGACTACTACAAGAATACAGATACAAGTTCCTGGAATCATCATACTCGTGAGCTTACAGTAAGCAAGTCTTCAGATTAAATGAAGGATCAAATCCTAACCGCCTAGCTAGTCTGGCCGAAGGAAGAGCTGGTCCACAGACAGGGGATGATAAGGCAGGTCGTGTCCGATAAGGCCTGTGATTCATGATCCATAATCCACCCTGGTCCGAGCGTTGCCGAGATCATAATCATTAGTGAGCCAGTAACAAGGCATTTCGTTATCCAGGGTGGATTGAGAGGATCTCGACAGGGTCTTGCCACGATCCATGACGCGAGGCTCTTGTCGAGTGGAAGTATACGAGAGTGTGTTATTTCTCGGGACGAATCATTGTGGTTGCACCCACTTCAAGGGTCATTTCATGAAACCCATGCTGACTGTACGGTGCTCACGAGGCATTGGACCGGTTACAGGCGTCCAATCTCACATGGGGCAAAGCCAGAGCACCGTTCCTGCTGGAACCCTAAGGAGAGTGGGCCAAAGGCTGCCGAGGTCTATCGCGCAGGCAGGTCAGATTGACGACTCCATCATCAGCAGCGGGCGTCTTGGCAGCGGAAAACCTCACAAATGGTGTTGAATTGAGTTCCGACCTGGCAGTGCACCGCAGGAGCCTGGAGCAGGACCAGCACCAACTTGCCTAATTCTACGGTTGCTGCTGGTAAGCGGACGGATTCCAATAATAGACGAGGGGGAGTTGGCTCTTGACGCAGGTTCCCAAGCCGCAGTCCGCATGGAAAAAAGGCACCCGACCGCATCAAGGCGGTGTCCAAGGAGAAAATCCGCAGCGCTTTCCACCTTCAGAAGCTGTCTCAGAAGACGGAGTCTACCTTGCTTCTACTCTTTATAATTAGCAATCATCATGCCATAACCACGCACTTCCAGAGGCCTCGTTGGTTCTCTTGACTGAGTGATTTTGGCGTGTGCCTAGCTCCCAGTTTATACGGCTTTCGGCGACCGTTCGGTTATCTACCCACATATCGGGGTTCGATCACAGAAGCTACCTAGTAGTTCCAACCCGTAAGACGTCAAATTACTTTCAGCTCCTGGATTGTCTGTCATCAGCAGACGCAAGAAGCGAGACAGGCAACTCAGACGAGCTGACATATCTCACCAGGTAAGACATGGCCGTATTCAGCAAAAGCTCGCAAAGCGGTGAGAAGTATTTCGTAGCTCCAGAATCGATAGGTCCGAACCAGTGACATCACGAAGATTCGCCAGTAGAATATGCATGTTTAGGCCAACATACCAATGAGGCTTTGCATTTCCGAAGAACATTCTTTCAAGGATCGAAAAATCTGTGGCCAAGAGGAAGAGGAGTTGCGGTGTGCGGGGGTTTTCCGGATAGTGGGAGAAGCTGCAGGTGCACTTATGCACGCTGGTCCCGCTTCTACGGAATCCCCCTCAATGGGTTACAAATCTCATTTCTCGCGCGGTTTGTGTGCTGAAATATGGAGAGTAGAAGACAAATTCATCAACTATCCAAATACCGACACGGCATTTCGAATGGGAAATCGAATCATGCTATTCTGTACCTGGTAGGGATAAGTCACCTATTACCCCGTTGTCGTTCGGTAGACACCGCGATGCAATATTGCTGCAATAAAACATCGATAAACCTTGGACCGCTACGAAGGGCGATGTTGTACAAGGAGATTGATATCTGGGGGCTCTTCCGAAGTATTACAGATTTGATCAGGATAGGGTATTACGCGGCTAAACGTAACCAACATTCCGCAGTCAACCAAGCCAATATATCGAGGAATACACTCCCCGTTGTAGGGGTACACGAAGTATACTGGCAATAGTTCGAGGCCTACAATGCATGGAATATAGTAACATGTTCAATTTGCTAACTCTCTATCGAGACTACCGTGTGAAGCATAAACAGAATCCGGGATCGCGATAGCCTAATCCTTCAACCCCCTCGCTCGTAGCATAGAGATGAGAGCATGCATGCACGCTTCGTTAATCTTGCATCTCGTCAAGATCAGGCGTAGAAGAGCGCGACCACCGCACCAAACAGAGCCAGTGCCCCCTTGGTAGTACCGGAGGTAGACGCCGCGGCACCGACCGACTGCTGCGCGGCGGCAGTCGCGGTAGTGCTGGTCGTGGTCGAGTTGGAGCTGGATGCCAAGGATGCGGTGGTGATCGTAGCCTTCGACGAAGCCGCGGTACTCGTACCTGTGACAAGAACAGCAGCCAGGTTAGTATGATCATCTTGCAGCTGTGTATGAAGTAGGTTCTTGCCTAAAGAAGACAAAGGAGTGATCGACGACGCAGGTGTCGACGATCCTGGAGTGGTGGTGGTGATGGAGGTGGTAATTGAGGTGGAAGTGATCTCACTGGATGTAGAGGAGGAAGTAGTGGAGGTGGTGGAGGTGGTGGAGGTGGACGTTGAGGACGATGAAGTGGTCGATGAGGAAGAAGAAGAAGATGAGGTGGATGAGGATGAGGACGTTGTACCATCGTTCGAAGCACCCTTCTCGACTGTGAACACCGGGCTCACGGCGAGCTGGCCTGATGAATCAATAATCTGAATCTCGTAGTCATCTCTGAGGTACCACGAAGGCAAAGTCAACTCAGCGATTCCAATCTTGGCGAGATTCACGATGTCTCTTGGCTAAGGCTACATACCCGTTGGAAATGCTAGGGTTGGGTTGAGTCGTGTATTCCCCCTCGGAGGTCTTCACGTTATCTGCCAACTTGGTCTGGAAGGAGCCATCCTCATTTCGCAGGATGATACTGATATACTCAGGATCACTGGAGTCGCTGGTGAACTTAATGGTTTTCGGGGTGGAAAAGTCCCATTCCGTGTCTGATGAAGGAGTAGTGATAGTGATGGCCAGAGCCGAGGAGATCAGGCCCAAAGAAGCGAGTGTGAAGGAGTAACGCATTCTGAAGCAACAACAACAACAACAGAGTATGCTGGCTAGTAAAGCTACAGAGAACGTCTCACGATTTGCCAGGAAAACAACTATATATACAGCAAACAATACTTGTGCAGTATGCTGATGGCTATCTGTACCTCCTGGAAGAAAACCATATACGGACTCAAACTGTCAACACCCTTCCAGCTGAAGCCCGACAAAATGAGACACGCAGATTGTCTGGGCCTTAGAGAGCAGGGAGCAGCAATACGAGGTGATCTCCAGTACGAGCTGAGCCTCGCCTGTGGAGACCGAAGCAGAGGCGAATAGTCACGCAATCGCCATCCCGGTGCCCACGTCAATGACAACAAACGGGAACTGAAAGGATCGATGACTGAATCAGTGATCTGTCATGCTGTGTTGGGATGATTTCACAATAGCTTCCCAATCAGATTGGGTAGATTACCCTTACCGATAAAAGGACTCAAGCTTTGCACTAACCAGGGTTCTTCTGATGTCAGCGCTAGGGCGGCGCTAAGAAAGGCAAGTCTCCAATCCGGCGGTGCCGATAAGGCTTGGGAATCGAGGCTATCAAGTTTGTCATTCTATTTTTGTGTGTATTGTTCTGTCACGTCTATAATCTATGACCCGTAGTGACGGTAAGATTCCCCTTCGAAATGACATTGGCCAAGTCAGTGTCTGCGCCAACTGGCAAACAAACTGCCGTGGTTTGTAGGTTGGGGCAACCGAAGCCGACGGGAGCTGGTGGCTATGCCCGACAGTCAGGGCTGGAAACTTGGGCACGGTCGGAAATCCCGAGATAATCATACAATTTTACAAATGTATGGCGTTGCGTGTGAAATAGAGGTACGGTATCCTATTGAAGGACATGCTTAAGGACTCTCAACAAGCGTGGATGCGTTTTAGAGCCACACACTACAAAAGCTATCGCTGCTACGGCCGACGAGGTCCAAATCGAAAAAGCAATGTGAAACAGACCACCGCGCCCAGACTTGAATTAATGTCTTATAGTAGTGAATTATTGTATTATAGCAGCAAACTCAAATGTAATCTGTCTTCGTGAAGGCAAAATCTCGACCATCTAGTAAGAAGATCAACACGGCGAATCGACAAGAAAAAGAGAGAAAAAGAAAAAAGAAAGGGGAAAAAGAATCGAAGGAGGAAAATGATGAAGGAGGGGCAGTCGACAGGATTAGATGACTAAGTAAGAGGTGGCCATGGCTGCCGTCACCAGCACCGTCCTTATCTCCCTCGACAGACCGAATAAGGAAGACTGAGCCCCGGTGGAGGGCGAGGGGCTTGCTGACGAGGCTGACGAGCTACTCGAGGTTCCGGTTGAGGATTCATCCCTACAGATATTGGTGCTCTTCTTCAGGCTGTCAGTGGGATAGTACACCCGGGGACCGCCGTCCGAGCTGAGGTCAACCGTGAGATTGCCGCTGGCATCGGTGACAAATGTTTTGCAAGAAAGGATCTCCGTCACGTTCTGTCGGGATTGGAAACCCGTGCCGTCGGCGCCCAGGGTGAATTTGGTGGTGGCTTTGTTGGCGGGCTTGGCACCCAGGTTAGATACGACGCTCACAACCTGATTGCCAGCAAAGCCCTTGCGGATGGCCAGAATGTTGGTTGAATTGTAGATCGGCAAAGACAGGTACGAGAGATAGTCGCGTCCAGCCTGCGACTTGAGCGTGTACTGTTTGCCATCCACGCTGGCATATGATCGAATGCGGTTCAGCGATTGGACGAGCGACGGGAGGGAGGTCGAATCAATCGAGTAGTTCGTGCGCCACAGAGCCTCACGATTCACCGGGTTAAATGCCCCCGAAAGGTGCTGCTCTTCACCGTAATAGACTGCGTTGACTTGCTTAGTAATTCAGGCTAGTTGTGTAGGTGGGGAGAGAGCTGGAACATACGAATGGGTATACCGTCTGCCAACATGCTGGTGGTGAGAATATTGCGAGCAAGCTATTCGACGGTCACAAGATTAGTCTAGGTACGCTCACTTTCACACTGGGGGCTGTGACCCAACTTACAGAAATATCCGAAGTATACGAGCCAAAGCGAGGGACGTCCTGATTCGATGTGAACGTTCCCAGGGCCAAGACGTCCTGCCAATAATTAGTTTCAGATTATCATTTCACGGGTCAGCCAATGCTCACCGTGCACAGTGACTTGGTGTAGTCAATAGACTGGAAAATGGCACTCAGGTCGCCGTGTGTCGTATTGAAGGCATTGGTGAGGATATAATACCTGAAAGCGTCAACACTCCTTCTGCCAATACGTCTGGATGTGTGTACTCACAATGGATAATTCAGCAGTCCGTTTAGGTTAGACTGCAGTGGACAAATGTCTGCTGCAGTCTTTGTCGCACCTTCGCCAAAAAGGAAAACCCCCGCGGATTTGTTAAAGCTCGAGAAAAAGTCGGGGTCAATGTTCAAGACACTGTCGATACGCAGCCCATCGACTACCCACACAGGTGTTATTGAAAGAATCATAGACACCACATGAAACATAGAACTCACCAGAGTAGTTTGAGACCAGCTCCGAAACCCAAGTGCCCAGCATGCGCTGAACCTGCTCGTCCTCATTTCGCAGATCTGGGAGCGAGACAATATTGTCTCCCATCCAGCACTAATGCACATTTTAGCACCTCCCCTGCAGCCATCGTAGAGAGAAGCTCACATCCAAAACACAAGTGTCATTTGTGGGGTCTGAAGAGAGTAGCTTGTAGTCGTGGAAATATTTCCGATCGTTGAAAGGGTTGAACGTGCTGTAGTCGACCGTGGTGGAATTCCCCGCCCAGGCCATATCCCCGACCACGACATCAAGCATCAGGTACTATTAGTCCTTTCTTCTCAGTCTTGTCTAACATTTCTGGGTTTGTGCTCATGGTCACTCACCATCCCACGCTTGTGCAAGGCCGAGGATAAAGCTTTGAGATCATTGGAGGTGCCGAAGTGGGAGTTGATGGAATAGAGGTCGTTGGGCCAGTAGCCATGGTATGCTGTTATCCGTGGAGACGGCTAGGTTAGTCTTGAGGAGCAGATTCACAGTGGCATGGGACAGTGGCATGGGACAGTTGCATGGGACAGTTGCATGGCTTTCCCGAGCATACCTGATAGATCCGCGGTTCGTTCTGATATTTGGCTCTGTGCCGGAGAGATCCAGATTGCATCGAAGCCGAGTTCCTGGATGTAATCGAGCTTGTTGATGATGCCGCGGAACGAGCCCCCACAGTAATTGCCTTGTGCTGCATCACAAGCGGCGGTGGTTGAGTTATCGGTTCGAGCAAAGCGATCGGTAACAAGTTGGTAGATGGAGCGACCGAGCCATTGATCTCTGGAGGCGGCCTCAACCCTTACTGTCCAGTCTACCAAAGTGGCTGCAACCATCAATGCCCTTCTCCACCACCGCCCACTCATCATCGGTGACGTTAGCATAACCAACCCAGTGAGAAAGAAAGAGAATGAGGATCGATCAGGATGGTGGATGGAGTCTGCAATGCTCGAGTTGCCCTACGTAAATTAAGTGACTAGGTGACGAAGATCATATAAAGATATCATCTACGGAGTACCAGATCTCATATATGCGACCGCTTCGCTTCGTTGGTATTCTAGCAGCCTAGGATTGATACCTTAATTATTAGTCCCCGTTGGCTAAGTTAATAATGTTGATCATTAGATTGCTTTCAGATTGGATTATCTTGGGATCTTGGCCCAAGGGACGGGAAGGGTAAGAGGTAAATCGGAATACAGGTATTGGTACTGGACGTGGTATTAACCGGTAACGAAGAGTGGATCGGCCCGTTGACCAGCTCTGTCTGCCCTGAGCCTGTCATCGAGCCCGATCGGCAGCCCAGATACAAGACAGAAGACGACTGTCAGATAACTTGAGTTAGGCTGTCTTCAAGGTTCTCTTCGTTCCGCGGCACTGCCAACCTTGTAAAAATCCCGCCATTCCCGCGACTGGACAGTCGGCTCCTTATCTCCCCTTATTATCACAAACTGGAACCCGGACTATCTCTCCATCCGACCCTGTGGTCTGGGCTTTTCTCCTTGGCTCGCTTCCTTTGTCCGCAAAAGGCCATGTATCAGCATCAGCTAAGTCGACTTCTTTAGTTAGTTAGTTCAGTTATCGCCTATGACGTGTTCCATTGAAGGCGTGCTAGCCGGTCGGGCATACATCACTGACTCCTCCCGAACTCCCAGTACGTACGGGGTACTCCGTACTGACGGTCTCATCGATGGTTTTCTCGCCGATCTGCGGGTTAGAGATATATGACTTGTCGGATGGGGAAAATTTGCCCTTGCAGCCATTTCCAACCCGGTATGATGAACACCATCGTAGAACCCTTCAAGCTTCGATGTTAAACATGTATCAATATATACCTGTATCAACTTGCATGAATCATCCTTTCCCCTCCGTTCCTCCCCATGGGTTGTCCGGTGCATGAGCTGTAAGGAGGACCTCCCCGCCGGAATGGGCGAGGAGCAACTGATACAGACCCACCTCGTACACTGGGCCAGCCCATTTCGACCACTCCAAGTGACCTATATTCGATGCATGTCAGATCCAGTCCATACGAGACATGAGGCGTCTCTTTTGGGCCTGGAACCTGGGTGTCGAGGCCCGAGCAAGGTGGCGTGGTTGTCTCTCAGCTGAAAATTTCGTTGGGATAACGAACATGCTGGAGAAGAGGCCCACCCCCGAAAAGATGGCGTTTGTTGCCTCCAGCAGAGCCGCTAAAATTAGGGCGTTGCTTTCGACTGCCTCACTCGGTGTCGGTGCATGGAGGCTGTACATGACTACGGTATGGATCGCCTTATCGCTGCGGAGGGTTCGTTATCTACGCGAACATGCTTCTCAAGCTCATCTTGCGCTTCTGAGAATATTTCAGCCAATTTATCGCTTTTCCTCTATGAGATACCTTTTGCACTTTCTTTGGTTCACGCTGGATTTACTGCTGCTTGTATGAGTTCTTAGGAGATTCTGCTTCTTTGTCCCCGCAGTTCGAGGCTTCCAACGGTGTGCTGCTCCGTGAATGTCACTATAGC